TGCAGCCCCCCTTTTGGATTACCTACCTAAAAGTATTGAATGGACTGGGCTGGTGCATGGCTTTAGGCCAAAAGGCAACATTCCCGCCCTACTTACACTACTATTCATCAGAGAGTGCTCAATTCCTGTTTTCCCGCATGTTTCAATGGACTGCGTGACAAAAACGATGCGACAAGCTTGTGGCCGATCTGCAGTAGGGATCGCAAAATGTGCTTGCGTACATGGCTGGCAAAGCTGTGTGGAGGGGGGAAAATAACATGGCCTGGGCCGCGTGTTCATTGGCCTTTCACCTGGCCCCTTGGCTTCATGGCTAGCTCAACTCCTCATTGAGCTTGTGCTGCTTGACAGCTGGAGATGAGGGGGAACGTTTGGTCCGGCTCATGATTGTCGGTTGGATTAATGTGGATTCATATGCTCATCTTCTTCGTATTCAGAGCACTGTATCAATCTTTCCATCTCTGGCAGTTCAGATAGGCCAACGTACACTAGATACCATCGTACCCGAGGCGGCTCCTGATCGTCGTCCGGGTTCGTGGAATTGTGTGAGGTCAGTCTATCGCAAACTTTCCGGGCGGCTCACTGCACAATTACGACCTGACAGGGCATGGAACATGGGGTGCCGCTTGTCCCGGCCGGCGGGAGGAGAGAAGCGACGATCGCGTTTACAGGGCCTATCTTTTTTGGTAGCAGCAGCAGCAAAAATAAACCACCTTGTCGGATGTTACGCAAGCCAAGCTCCAGCTTTCCATCAGTCCACATTTTCATCACTGATTCCCCCCGCTTTCGATCACCTCTGCTGTTACACAACCAACAGTGCGTTGTCCACGTCGCCAGACTCATCTTCCATTTCATCGTTTCAAATATCCCGTTCATCGCTTCGTCGCTGGCTGCTGATATATGGTATCTTGGTTGGGTGATACCCAGACAGGGAAGATTGTTGGTTTGTGCACTCATCGCTGGCCAGACTGTTCCTTTAGCCGCTACAAGTTCGCGCCACTTTTCGTCCAAGCTCCCACTTGTATACCGGTACCAGGAAGCATGTTCTGGTGTCCGAAAAGTTCAACATTGGCTCTTCCCAGTCTTGCTAGGCCACGGCTGGGATACGCGGAGGAAAATCAGTCATCGAACAGAGTACCGAGGGTATGGTTCATAGTGCGTCGTGTTTCTCATGATAACCTCCACCAGTACATGTACATAATCCTACAAAAAAAACAACAAAAAAAAACCACCATTTTTCAAATGACGCTCCCTAAACACCACGCAGATGCAATTTGCTCTTGTCGAGTCCAGTCCAACACAACCAGATTAGATCCCACACCAGCTCCTCTTCCTCAAGGTAGCTTGCACTCCCATCAATGAACGGCCATATCCGGGGGTATAGGTGTGTCCCGCCGACTCCCAGTATCCGGGTTAATCAGGTCCACCGACCCCAGCCTGTCGCACTGTGACACGAGACGCTTCGGCACCGTCGGCGTCGTCAGGTCCATCTCCATATCCCCCGGCGTCAGCCCCCGGTCGGAACAAGAGTACGAGACGCTACTCGTATCCGACATCTCAACGTCCTCCATCTCCCCAGCGGCCTCCTCAAACGTCTCGACGCTAGGCGTCGGGAGATCGCCGCAGGTCTGCACCTCCACCATGAGAGGGGGAGCAACCACAGTCTTCCTTTGAGGAACAGACAACACCGGCGTCTGCGCCGCCGCCGCCTCGGCCGCCCGCAATGCCGCTACGGCACCACCCAAATTCTCCTCGTCCTCCTCCTGGTTCCCAATTGTCCACACCCACCGCCGCTTCTTCTCCTTGCGCTTGGTCCGCTTTCTGATGCCGCCAGACGGGCTGACCGGCGGTGAATTGGCCGCCAGCCCCGCCATCCGCCGCCGCATCTCCTCAAACGGGCCCGGCGTCATACCGCCGTCGCGGGTCTCGTCGCTCGTAAACGCCATGGCGAGGTCCAGCACCGCGTTGGCCTCCTCCTGGGTCGGTGCCGGTGCCGTCTCCGCTGCTGCTGCTGTTGCTGCCGCTGCCGCCGGTGATGCCGGGGAAACGACGTCCTCGACGAGCAGGTCAATATGGGACTTTGTGTACGTTTCCGTTGTGATTGTCTGCTCGATGGGGCTGTTGTAGGCTACACGGCGGGCCGCCTTCTCCTGCAAGCGCAGGGACTGCCGGCGCGGTGAGATGGGGGTTTTGGCGCTCGGCGGGGGGAGAGGTGAGTTGCGGAGGATGCTGTGGAGGGAGCGAGGATGTGTGTAAGGCAGCTTTGAGCCTGCGAGGGTCAGGTTGTTGTTACGTCTCCTCTGCGAGCGCGCCTCCGGCTGGTTGGGGATGAGGCCGATGGCTGTCAGTGGCGTCTTGGTGTCGATTGGCGAGAAGCCAAACATCTGGGGACCTTGGTTGGGCTCTACGGGGCCAGCCGAGAGAGGCGGGGTGGCTGTCATGGTGCTCGGAAAGGTAATCTCCATTGCGACGCCGGGCGAGAGGGGGTGTGCCGTCAATGGCGTCTCGGGGTAGGAGACTGCGTACGGAGTCTGAATGCGAAGCTGGGGTGTCTTTGAGCCATTCTGCAAGCGCGAGGGCTGTGTTTGGGAGGTGTTGATGGCCGTGAGCGGTTCTGATGCGGTAGGTGTCGACCTCTCAATGGCGGTCACGTAGACGTTGGAGAGGGTGTTGAAGGTTGTTGGGTCCTTGGGGTCAATGACGGAAAAGGACTTGTTGATTCTTGTGTGAGGTGCTGGTGATGTCTTGATGCTCAACGACAGCTTTGGCCTTCTTGAGGCGGTTCCAGTCTGAGTAGCCATCGTGAACACGTGATGTGCTACTGTCGAACCCGGAAGAGTGGTATCAGTTGATGAGTCTGCGGCTCAGCCTAGATAGCCAGCAGATTGGGTCGTACAGGGGTCAAGTGACGACCTTAGCCTCCCGACCTGTTGGAATCACCAGGATGAGACAAATCGGTTCAGAAAGAGGGGGGAAACCAGCAGTCGACGAGATGCAGAGAAGAGAGGGATGGCGGCTATATAGATTAGGTTGCAAGTGGTGCAACGGTTAGAGTTGTTGGGTTTTGTGAGGGGGTTTATCCAAGCTGGAGTCTCTGGTCTGGGTGGCCGTCTGGAGAGGCGCCGCTAGACAGACATATATGCAATGCAGTGTGACTGGAGGAACAGACAATAGACGCGATTGAAGGAAGGAATGCGTCGCACGCAGGAGGACACCCCCTCGTCGCAGGCAGCTCCAGTTCTGGTTGGCTATTTTGGGCAGCCATATGTGATGGGGAAGAGGCGCAAGCGCCGGGCTCAGATGGGATCCTTGTCGACTCGAGTCGCATCCCTGCAGATTGGCCAATGACGATGGCGGGGGGCGTCGGTTGTCTGCCCGAAGCGGCGTCTATTTGGTTGTACGACCGGGGACGCTCTGGAGTAATGAATCCCTCGCCATTTCCGAGAAGAAAGACGGTGAGAGCAGTACGTGGGATGGTAAGCAGACTGGCGGATAGACGGAGAAAGAGAGGACTTTGGTAGTCACGAGACAGTTCATGGCAGGCCGGTAGTAGGTGGTGATACACTGGTACCAGAGTTTGAGTGCGCTTGTTGGTCTAAGAAACATCCAAGACCTAGTCAACAGGCGGCTATTCAGACGCGGTTGTCCAGTCCCCGTTCTCGCTTTCGATAGTTGCCCAAGCCACGCGAGAGTTCGTCACAGAATGCCTGGGAGGTGGGAACCCACACTTGTGAATCCTCAAGTCGGTCTTGGCGGCCGTTGTAAGCAGGTGTTGAAAGCCAAAAAGCCTACACTGCCGTGATGGCCTAGCATCGTTGGCGTGGAAATGTTCAGATGAGTGATATGAGACGACGTAAGCTTTTGTTTGAGTGAGAGGGGCAAAGGAACACTGACCAGGACCAAAAAAAGGGCTGAGTGTATCGGAAGGAAGCGAACTCTCGTCTCGTCTCCGCTTCCCGTCCACAGCCCATGGATGATGGATCTTGTTGGAGTCTCTTTGGAGGAGTCATGCCAGCGAAAGCGAGAAATCCGTCTCGGCCTCCACTTTGATCCGTGCGAACTTTAAGCGAAGAGACGCGGCAGCCGAGGGCGCCGTGGACGCGGGGGGTTTTGACAGGCGCAGAAGTCAGAAACACAACTGTGCCACTCTGTGGCAATACTGGGTGGGCCATCATGTTGGGACTTGAGTCTTGAGGTGGGAAAGTGGGAGGATCATTCCCTCTCTTAGGCGCCACGATGCCAAGCCACAGCACCACCGCAATCTCCAAACGCGGAACCCCCGCCCCGAGCCCCGCCCCGCAAATTAATCAGCGTCCAAAATTAGGTAATCCTGCAGGACCCCCCAAATTGATACAAACATCATTGGGACAGATGGTGACAGCTGCGAAAACCTGTCCCCTCCAAACAACGACATCCAAATGTCAACTTCACCGGCCGCCGGCTCTCTCTCAACCCCACAGCCGCCGGGCTGGCCGAGCTCTGTCGTAAATATCCCCAGAAAATAGAATATCTCCAGATACAGATACATACCATAGCCAAGATCACGAATGATACCCCCACGACGCACCACCGCCTTTCCAAAGCCTGCGTTATCCGTCTACTCGGCCGAAACGCCTCCTATCGTACTGCTCTCTTTCCATTCGTATAGACAGACCTGTCTCACACTATCACAATCACTTCGATAAGCCGATACCGCTCTCATCATTGGTTCGGCCATCTTCTTCAAACGCCCGTCTTGATAGATCTGGATGGATCAACGACGACTACACCAGGCCCCGCCGGCAATCCTCATGACTGCCCGCAGGCTTCGCCGATGAGTACATCTGAATAGGACGACGGCCTCGCTCATGAACTTACACCTTGGATCAGAGAAGCTTCATCATAAAACGAGATTAAGATCCAATTCTACTGGCACTTTCTTGCTCCAGAGACAAGCAGCATTGAGCAGTCTTTTCCATACGACGTCGTTTTAATCTAATTTGACGTTTTTGGTACATAATACTATGGGTGCGTTGATGTCTCCCTCTTGCCCTGTGCTTCTGGGTTCGGGTCATACCGATCGCTTAAGGGGTACATGGCTACCTTGAACCTATGAACAAGGGCTTACACTCTCTAATAGGCTCCACATCCCAACATACCTTTCCTCTCACTATTCCGGAATGGAGAGACGCTCAAGAAGCCGGGGACGGCCTTAGCCGACTCTTGTCGCTTCGAGAGTCCGAAGCCATTTTAAACTCCAACGCCTGGATAGCCCTGGCCACCCCATCTCAAATCGAGCAGCAGTGGGCTTACACCGAATCCTTACGCTTATCCGGTGCTTCCCTACCACTCTTCGGCGTCCCCTTCGCGGCCAAGGATAACATTGACGTCGCCAGCTTCCCCACAACCGCAGCGTGCCCTAGCTTTGCCAATGGCCCCGTCGACCAAGATGCCGCAATCATCGCCCGTCTCAAGGCTGCCGGTGCCATCGTCCTCGGCAAGACAAATCTCGATCAGTTTGCCACAGGCCTTGTCGGTACCAGATCACCGTACGGTCCAGTGAGCAACTCCTTTGATCCCGCCAGGGTCAGCGGCGGTTCGAGTTCCGGCAGCTCCGTCGTCGTTGCCAGGGGTGTCGTTCCCTTTTCCCTTGGTACAGACACCGCCGGCAGTGGTCGTGTGCCTGCCGGTCTGAATAACCTTGTGGGGGTGAAGCCTACCAGAGGTGCTCTCAGCACAACTGGAGTTCTGCCCGCATGTCGCAGTCTCGACTGCGTGTCCATTTTTGCACTCACCGTCGATGATGCCGAGACGGTCTTGGCTCTGGCCGAGGGCTTCGATACCAAGGACTCGTTCTCAAGGGCTCGGCCAGACGCTCCAAGTATGATTGAGGGACATCGCATGGCCATCTGTGATGATCCTCCATGGTTCGGAAAGACTGAACAGTCTGTAGCCTACGCAAAGGCCCTGGAGAAGGCCGAGACTCTTGGTTGGACGCTGGAGCCCAAGGACTTCTCTCCGCTATTCAGACTTGCCAGCTTGCTTTATGAGGGCCCCTGGGTCGCGGAACGTTACGCCGCCATCAGGGACTTCATCGAGGAAAACGGAGACAAGATGGACCCCACCGTCCGGGAGATCATCCTTAAGGCCAAGGACTTCAACGCCGCGGACCTCTTCGCGTCAGAGTACCTGCGACAGGAGCTGACCCGCGAGATTGAGAACCGATTCGGCAATTTCGACGCCATTCTGGTCCCCACGTCTCCCACCTTCCCTACCATTGAAGATCTCGTCAGGGAGCCGATCAAGGAGAACGCCTATCTCGGCACGTATACCAACTTTGTCAATTTCATGGACTGGACCGCCCTGGCAATTCCTGCTGGCTTCAGATCCGACGGACTCCCCTTTGGCATCACATTGATCTCATCCACGTGGGGCGAGCCGAAACTGCTTTCACTAGCACGGGAATGGCTTTGCACGGCCCCTCGACCTCTTGGAGCTACCAAGATTGAGATACTCGAGGCACTGAAACCTGACGCCGTCGCTGCGGGCGAACCAAAGACGACTCGTCTTGTGGTGGTAGGTGCTCACCTTACGGGCTTTCCCTTGAACAAAGACCTGACGTCTCGTGGAGGAACACTAGAGACGGCCACAACAACATCCCCAAGCTACAAGTTCTATTCCCTTGATACCGCCGGTGCGGTAAAGAAGCCTGGTTTGCAGCGCGTTCAAACCGGTGGCAGCGCCATTCAGGTCGAAGTTTGGAGTATACCCACGATGGAGGTCGGTAGCTTTCTAAGTACTGTGCCTTCGCCTCTGGGCATTGGTTCTGTCGAGCTAGTCGATGGAAGCTGGGCTCCTGGGTTCATCTGTGAACCCTATGGATTGGAAGGTGCTACAGATATCACGCGGTTTGGAGGCTGGCGTGCCTTTACCAAGTCTCTGTTCCCTGAGAATTCTCGTCTTGACAGTAATACCAACACCCGCGACATCAAGACCGTTCTTATCGCCAACCGTGGAGAGATCGCCGTCCGAATCATCCGGACCTTGCATTCCATGGGCATAAAGGCTGTTTCAATTCACTCCTCTACCGATGCTCGCTCACCTCACGTACGCAACGCTGATGTATCACTTCCATTGGAGGGGGCTTCCGTCCCTGAAACTTATCTCAATGGCTCCCAGATCATCTCTCTTGCAAAAGAGGCCGGCGTTGATGCTATTATCCCGGGCTACGGCTTTTTGGCAGAGAATGCCGACTTCGCTTCAGCCGTCGAGGCCGAAGGTGTGATCTGGGTCGGGCCAACTGCGGAACAGATGCGGCAACTCGGCTTGAAGCACCTCGCTCGTGAAGTTGCCATTGGGGCAGGCGTACCTGTCGTGCCGGGCAGCAAACACCTGCTCAAGAGCGCCGACGAGGCGCTCACCGAAGCGGACCGCATCAGTTACCCCGTGATGCTTAAGAGTACTGCGGGCGGCGGTGGTATCGGCCTCAAGCGCTGCGACGACGCTGCGTCACTGGTTGAGGCCTTTGAAAGCGTCCAGAGATTGGCCCAGGCCAATTTCGGTGACGCTGGAGTCTTTGTGGAGCACTTTATTGAACGTGCTCGGCATATCGAGGTACAGGTCATTGGCGACGGAGAGGGCAACGTCACATCTGCTGGCGAGCGAGATTGTTCCCTGCAGCGGCGGAACCAAAAGGTGATTGAGGAGAGTCCTGCCACGTTTGTACCACTCGAAGTGCGCAAAAGGATGCGAAAGGCCGCTGTCGACCTTGCCTCTGCTGTCAGATACCGCAACGTCGGCACCGTCGAGTTCATCTACGACGTGGACACCTCGGAATTCTACTTCCTCGAGGTCAACACCCGCTTGCAAGTTGAGCACCCCGTCACCGAGTCTGTAGCCGGTCTTGACCTGGTTGAGTGTATGATCCGCGTGGCGTCTGGAGATAGCAAGAACATGTTTCAAAAGCCAGAAGGGTTCGAGGTGAACGGCGCTGCGATCGAGGTGCGCGTTTATGCTGAGAGTCCGCTCCAGAACTTCCGCCCTTCGCCAGGCCGTCTTCTGGATATCTCTTTTCCTGACGATGTACGCGTCGACACATGGGTCGAGCCAGGGATGGAGATGTCATCGTCCTACGACCCGCTCGTAGCCAAGATTATCGCCACGGGCGAGGACCGAACAGCAGCGATCGCCAAGCTCGCTGATGCTCTGGAGAAGACAGTCGTTACTGGCGTTGAGACAAATCTGAGCTACGTCCGCCACATTGTCGCGTCAGAAATGTTCAAGTCTGGTAACTTCACAACGACATCCCTGAACACTTTCACATTCGAATCTTTCGTTTTTGAGGTCGTTGACCCTGGCACCCTCACCGTTGTCCAAGATTTTCCAGGCCGCAAGGGGTTATGGCACGTGGGCGTCCCACCGTCCGGGCCCTTTGACGACTATTCCTTCAGACTCGCAAACAGGTTGGTTGGGAATGACTCCCGCGCCGCCGGGCTCGAGTGTACCATTTACGGTCCCAGCCTTTTATTCCACTGCGACGCCGTTGTAGCCGTAACTGGCGCCACCGCCGAAGTCAAGATCGACAAGGAGTCTGTTTCACAGAACGCCGTCTTTTCTATCAAAAGGGGCCAGACATTGTTCATCGGCGGCGCAACGTCCGGGTACCGCAGCTACCTTGCCATCCGCGGGGGCGTCGCCGTTCCCGAAATCTTCAAATCCCGCTCCACCTTCGCATTGGGCCAGGTTGGAGGCCACAACGGACGGAACCTGCGCTCCGGCGATCTGCTTCCCGTGGGTAACCTAATTGCCACGTCGCCGTCCACCGCTTCCGGCCCCTCGACCCCCATCCCGTCCGACCCGGGCAACGCAAACTGGTCCATTGGCGTCGTCCCCGGACAGCACTCGGCACCCGAGCACTTCACAGAGCAAGGCTTCAACACCCTCTTCGCCGGTGAGTGGATCGTCCACTACAACAGCAACCGCGTCGGCATCCGCCTCGACGGCCCCAAACCGCAGTGGGCCCGCCAAACCGGCGGCGAAGCCGGCCTGCACCCGTCCAACATCCACGACAGCCCCTACTCGGTCGGCAGCGTCAGCTTCACCGGTGACGAGGCCGTCATCCTCACCTGCGACGGGCCCAGCCTCGGCGGCTTCGTCGTCTTCTGCGTCGTCGCCTCGGCCGAGATGTGGAAGCTCGGCCAGCTCCGCCCCGGCGACAAGGTCAAGCTCCAGCCCATTGGCGTAGACGATGCACTCTTCCTTGAGTCCGCCCTCGAACGCTCCATCGCCGAGCTCACGCCCCTGGCGGTGGACGTCACCCCTCTCGCCAACAATCCGACCACGCCTGACTCAAACCCTTTACTCGGCGACATTGGCAGCGCCGCCCGCCGCATCGCGGTCCGCCAGGCCGGCGACAACGCGATGCTCCTAGAATTCGGCACAGAAGACGTCTTCTCCCTCCGCCAAAGCTTTCAAATCTTCTCCTTCATCGCCCGGCACAAGACGCACCCGATCCCACACGTCCTCGAGCTCTCCCCCGGCGTCCGCACCCTCCACGTCCAATACGCCCCCAAACAAGCACCCGCGACAATCCTTTCCGCCCTCCGCGCCCACGAGGCCTCCCTAGGCGACGTCGCCATCCCCCCCTCCATCCCCTCCCGCACATTCCACCTCCCTCTCGCCTTCGACGACAGCGTGTCCCGCGCCGCCGTCGCCCGCTACGCCGCCACCATCCGCGCCACGGCCCCCTGGCTGCCCAGCAACGTCGACTTCCTCCGCCACCTCAACGCCTTGCCCGCCCCCGCCGACGTCGAGCGCATCTTCCTCGACGCTACTTTCCTCGTCCTCGGCCTCGGCGACGTGTTTCTCGGGTCACCCTGTGCCGTGCCCCTCGACCCGCGCCACCGCCTCTTCGGGACGAAATATAACCCCTCACGCTCTTTTACACCGCGCGGCGCCGTGGGGATCGGCGGGCAGTATATGTGCATCTACGGCATGGATTCGCCGGGTGGGTACCAGCTCGTCGGGCGGACGGTTCCAATCTGGGATGACGTTGCCGCTTCCGCCGTGGTGTCGCGGTCGCGAGGCAACGGCAGCAGAACGGATACCGCGGGAGAGCAGCAGCAGCAGCAGCAGCAGAAGCAGCCGTGGATGTTCCGCCTCTTTGACCGGATATCCTACTACCCCGTCCCCGAGCTCGACCTCGACGCCGCCATCACACAGGGCCGCATCTCCGACCTCGTCCGCATCGAAGAAGGGAGCCTCGACCTCGCAGAGTACGAATCCTGGCTGGCGGCCAACGAAGCCGACATTGAAGCCACGCGTAACCTCCGCGCCGAAGCGATTCGCAACGTGCCGTTTATGGAGGAGCTGCTGCAGCCGTATAACCCGCCAGAGATTGAGCGCGATCGACACGGTATTTTTGGGGAGGATGGTGACGGTAGCAGTGACGGTGGAGTGGTAGGGGAGAGAATCAAGGCGCAGATGCCGGGCCGGTGCTGGAAGTGTGAGGTTAGGGCGGGAGACGAGGTTGAGGTCGGGGACACGCTGGTGTGGATCGAGTCGAATAAAATGGAGATCAAGATTGGGAGTCCCGTGAAGGGCAGAGTTGTCAAGATGTTGGTTGCGGAGGGGGATGTTGTTGGGCCGTTTGATGATTTGCTCGTTGTTGCGACTGAGTGAGAGAGAGAGAGAGAGAGAGGCACCGTGGAATAGGGGTAGAGTGCGGTCCCGTATTTGAGTGATGTCTGACTCCATTTTGATGACTTCAAGTCTGATTTACAAGCGCTGACTAGACGTTGGTTCATAGACTTAGATACTGGTAGTTTGGAGAGTGTTCACCAGGTTCACGCGCAATGATGTTACAGAAACATACACACGAACGTGGTTCTTGTCTCTTCTATCAAAGTTGTTTACGGGTATCCAAGAGACGAAACTATGCAGACAGGAGCAAACAGCACGCGGACTATGTGGGTAAGTAACATAAACACCCAAAAGCAAGTGTTCTCCCCACCTCGCCACCATTGCCCCCTTTTTTTTTTAAATACCAAATCCAAATTTCGCCAGCCACAACCAGAATCGTTGTACATGTTTCCACTTTCTACATAAAATCATGACCGTAAGAAAAGGGGAAATAGTTTTCCCAGATCAGGTCAGAGATCTTACCTCCAACTTCTTTCAGATCTTGATCTCCGCAGAGGCCCTCACAGCCCCCAACCCCCCAACATCAGCCTCCAACATCCTCAACGCCTCCCTCGCAAACGGCGCCGCCTGGGCCCGGACGCGCAGGCTCCAGAGGTACTCCTCGACGCGGTCGGCATAATACATGGCCTCGGCGTCGTCGTCCGAGGTGGCCCACAACAGCCCCGCAAAGGAGCCGATGGCGGCGAGCTGGGCCGAGGCCGCGAAGCCCCAAAAGGACTGGATGTGCTCCATTTGCAGGTTTGAGATGATGTTGGAGGCGTTTGCGAGGCGGGCGCGGGCGCCGGTGCGGATGGCGTGGCGGAGGGAGTCGGGCGCGTTGGAGGAGACGTTGCGGACGAGGGAGCGGTGGAGGGCGAGGTCTATTGAGATGTAGGAGAGGTGGAGGGAGCCTTTGTAATGGGTTAGTGAATGCTTTTCATGGGAAGGAGGAGGAGGAGGAGGAGCAGGAGGAGGGGAGCGGGAACTTACCATTCGCAGAGAGCTTCTTGAGACGCGTCTCTTGAAGCTGGAGGGCTTCAGGGAGTTTCGCGTACCACTCCCGTAGCATCATGACAATAGGTTTCGCGAGCTCGGCGACGCCCACGGTGCCGACCTGGTCAAGGGTGCCGCCGCGACGGGTTGCCTTTGCCGTGTAGAACGTGCCGAGCACGTCGCTGAGGATGAGAGACAGCTCAATCTGTCGCAGGAACAGCTCACGCCCGACAACGACCTCGGCACTGCCCTCGGGATCGTGTTCCTCGTCGGCGGCGTTCTCGGGAAAATCCTCGATACAGCACGGCCGGACGTCCCAGTCCTCGTCGAGGCGGATGTGCGAGGGCCGGCCGTGGACGAGGGCGCCCCATTTGTCTTGCATAAACAGAGCCCAGGCGAGGCGGCGGCGCAGGCCCTTTTCCCAGTCCGGGATGGCCCAGTCGCTGCAGTCGACGTGGAGGCCCAGCCCCTGGCCGAGGGCGATGAGCTGGGCGGTGAAGGTCCAGGTGTTGTTGCGGAAGCGCTGCTGGATGAGGAGGCCGGCTTGGAGGGTGGAGATTTTAGGACGCTTCATGTCGTCGCTCATTGTGCGGAGAGCGAGGGCCTCGAGGGCGGCCTGATCGGGCTGCCATGAGGAGGTGGCGAGGGTGCGGTCGTACAAGGACCAGTCGAGGGCTAGAAGGTAGACGGCGGCGAGGAGGGGCGGGGAGAACTCGTGATAGGAGCGGGCGTATTTTTCTAGAAAGACCTTTTTGTGGAGAATGGGGAAGCTGGGGTGGACGATGCGGAAGTAGAGGTTGACGAGGGTCGAGCCGAGCGGGTGGACAACCTTTTCTATGGCGTCGAGATCGGCTATTCGTTGGGGTTCTGACGAGGTTTCGCGGTCGCGGTGGATGAGGAAGACGGTTGAGTCGTCCAAGCGGCGGACAAACCTGACGGCCGGGTCTTGGGGACGATGGAGGTCCAGGAGGGAGGGTTCCCGGTAGTCTGTATTGCCGACATATTGGGAATGGGTCTTGAGATGGAGGCCGAGGGTGCCGTCTAAGAGGGAGACGGGTTGGTTGAATGTTACGTGGTGTTCTGAACCGGCAAGAGACGGCGACAGGGCCTCGAGCAGTTCTGGAGACGGATGCCTAGAGGTCCGTTAGACTGGGTGACACGAGAGAGAGAGAGAGAGAGAGAATGGGTGAGAGATGCTTTACTGGGGAAGGGAGAGTGTGAAAGGGACGAATAGGTGTATGAGGACGGACCCGTGACACTGGACCGCCGAAAAAGGTTGATGGCATGAGCCAATGAGAAGGGGGCAATGAGACTATTCAGGAAGGATGAGGTACCGTGATACAACGAGACATAGGAAAGGCAAGGCATAGTAGGGTGAGGTAGGTCAGAGAGTCTAGGCCAGTGTAGAGGACAGTTCAAGACGACAGGAAGATGAAGGCACGATAAGAGAAATGTCACATCACTTACGTTATCTCATCCTGAGGATCCAGCGGGACGGGAGCAGGTGGAGGACCCGAAGTTGCAGAGACGGAACCATTGGTCGATGGGCGATGTTCCGGGGGATCGGTGGCCTTCCGGCGCTTGCGCGGGAGCGGCCCGCGGAGATATGTGCACGGCTGGCCGTGAAAGGAGCACATGACGCACTTATCACGGCCCTCCTCGCGGACGCAGCGCGTCTTGCGTTGACGACATATGTCACAGGGTCGGCTCTGGGCGGTGCCTGCGGCATTGGAGGCGCCCAGTGCTGCTTGTGCTGCCGTCTGGCCGACGGCGGCTGCTGCAGAGGGGTGTGCCTCGAAGGAGGGGATGTTGGCTGACGGTGAGGAGGCCGGCATGGTCGTTGAACCCGGGCCGGCGGTGGCGGGGTCGCCGTAGGGCGCCGGCGTGGTGTCCATGTCCATGACGGGCGGGCGGGCGGAACCGGGCGACAGCCGAGCCGAGGAGCGCGGGGGCGTGCGTGCGCTGCGTGCGCTGCGTGCGCTGTGTGCGCGAGTGTAAGGTAAAGATAAGGGGGGGTGAAGGGTTACGCAAGATCAAATTGGGTTGTGTCAGGCGACAGATAGTGCCGAGTTGTGCGAGAAGTGAAATTCGAGATTGGGTGAGGTACGTAGTACGTAGTATGGAGTAGGAAGGTTGTTAGGTGGAAGGGAAAGTGGTCACGTAAAAGCAGTGACACACAGCATGAAAGACGGGGAGACTGGTAATCGTAGACGACGATGCGTGAGCTGCTGCCCGAATGGGAATAAAAGGGAAGACTTCCCCGCCGATGATGGAAGATTTTCGCGTGAGTGCCCCCCGGTTCCTCTCTCTCAGATCAGATACGTCAAACGTCAACCAACGTCAACGCTCTACCTCTGGTGGTGGTGCCAAATGCCGGGTACTTTGACTGAGTGAGCGGCTATGGCACCGTAGCCATGAGGCTGATCAATCACGACTGAGCTGAGCTGCAAGCGAGTGTCATGGACCTGTCAGTCGGTAAAGGTAATGCACCTGGGCCTGGCCGAGTGGTTGTCTCTGTGCGTCTGGGATGAGTGAGATATGGAAATACGCAATGCAGTCCTTGTCCTCCAACGGACCCCACGGTTCCTCGAATCCGGGGTCGACACTGATAGTCTGCTCAAAGGTCTCGCACACTCAGACCGTGAGACAAGCTCTCCAGATTCCAATGGCTTATCGCCGGGGTCGTGTGTCGTCTGATTCGGCTGGGCTGGGCTGGGCGGCTGCGTGCTGCTCGCTGCTGTTATCGCAAAGCCTGTTCGGAATATTTTTCATCGATAAGTCTCCCAGGCGGTGGTGTGAAGGTACAAAGTTACGGATAAGATAAGATATCCGAACGATGTGCGGGATAACTGCAAACTGGGGTGGGGGAGGCAGAGAAAGACTAGCCGGATACATCGGGAGGTATCTACGAGTATATCCATACCTCTAGACAGGCAAAGGCTACATTACACTACAACTCTGCTCAGTGCAATTCCCCGTAGCCCCATCACCATGTCCCCTGCAGGCCCTGCCAGCGGCGTTGCCGGCTACGCGGACGCGGACTGGTCGGACTGCTGACAGCTCCCGGTCCCCTAAACTTCGAGAACACGGTGCTATACTGCCAGTCAAGGGGTACGTACCCCCGTCTGAGGTCAGGTAAGCTCCAGCTTGCAACGTCGACGGAACGAGAGCCGACTCTAGACGCCTGCCTCATTTTCCCTCCAACCTGGAAGTTTGAACCACCGACAGTGACGAAAGGGACACGATATCTACAACCTTATTCACAAGCTCACCACAATCCACGATCGCCGAAACGACGACAACGAGCATCCGCTGTCCCCAACAACCGCCTCCAAAGCACATCACGATTCGCGATCTCGTTCGCCTTCTCTTCGTCAAACCCCCTTTCTGTCTCCACGGAAGATGACATCGCAATAACTTACAATGGCCAAGGCCCCAAATCATGGAGCCCACCAAGACGACTCCCACCTCCCGGGCACCGTCGCCGCCCATTCCCACCACACCCCGAGCGAAGAGGATAGAGGCCTCCTCGCCGACGACCCCCTCTCTCCGCACCACCATGAATCTCACGGCGCCGGCATAACCACCACCACCACCGGCGACGAGGGATACTTTGTAACAGCAAAGCAGTACGCCACATCCCTCCGATCACCCGGCACCCCCCGGACCCCGAATCGCGTCCGGTTCAATCCCATACCCTCCATCGTCGAGCCGCCGCCCCCCGCGCCTCAATGACCAACAGCAACGGCGGCTCCTCCGCCCGCGCCAGTCGCGACAGCTTCGACGTCGACGACGACCTCTTCCACCACGCCCCCGGTGCCGACGACCACGACGATCACCATCGCCTCCCCCTCCTTACAGACATCGAGGCTCCCTCCGTCGCCCTCGCCAATAGCCCCTGGGGCGAGGATGCCGACGACGTACACGAATGGGCCGAGCAGGAGCGCGCGCGGCCCAAGTCGGGCCTCAAGATGGCCTTCATGAATATGGCCAACTCCATCATTGGCGCCGGCATCATCGGCCAGCCTTACGCCTTCAAGCAGGCCGGTTTGCTGGCAGGACTCGTTCTCCTCGTCGGCCTCACCGTCGTCGTGGACTGGACCATCTGCCTCATAGTTATCAACAGCAAGCTGTCGGGGAGCAACAGCTTCCAGGGGACGGTCGAGCACTGCTTCGGCAAGACGGGGCTCATTGCCATCTCGGTCGCGCAGTGGGCTTTTGCCTTTGGCGGCATGGTGGCCTTTGGCGTCATTGTCGGCGACTCAATACCTCACGTCTTCACGGCCATCTGGCCCGATATACGGGAAATGCCCGTCTTCCACCTCTTGGCGAACCGGCAGGTGGTCATTGTGGTCTTCATCTTGGGAATCAGCTACCCGCTGACCCTCTACCGTGATATTGCAAAGGTGAGTCGCCTGTTGCATCTGAACTGAGGGCCAGAAAACTCAAGACTGACACGATACTCTTTTCCGTTGATAGCTGGCCAAAGCAAGCACATTAGCTCTCATAAGCATGGGTGTCATCGTGGCGACCGTCATCATCCAGGGAGCTCTCACTCCCAAGGCTGACCGGGGTTCCTTCACACCCGCCCTTCTGACCGTGAACACTGGCATATTTGAAGCCATTGGCGTGATCTCCTTCGGTTCGTCCACTTTCGCATGTGTCTCACACAACCTCTGTTCTTTGGCTAACGAGGCATGAAAATGATCATCAGCATTCGTATGCCACCACAACTCCCTCCTCATCTACGGCTCCCTCAAAACCCCCACAATAGACCGCTTCTCCCGCGTGACGCACTACTCGACCGGCATCTCCATGGTCGCCTGCCTCCTCGTCGCCCTCGCCGGCTTCGTCACGTTCGGCGATAAGACGCTCGGCAACGTCCTCAACAACTTCCCCTCGGACAACGTCATGGTCACCATTGCCCGGCTCTGCTTCGGCCTCAACATGCTCACCACTTTACCCCTCGAGGCTTTCGTCTGCCGCGAGGTCATGTTCAACTACTTTTTCCCCGGCGAGCCCTTCAACATGCACCTCCACCTCATCTTCAGCTCCGCCCTCGTCGTCTCCGCCATGGTCATGAGCCTGCTCACCTGCGACGTCGGCGCCGTCTTTGAGTTGGTGGGCGCCACGTCCGCCTGCGCCATTGCGTATATCCTCCCGCCGCTCTGCTACATCAAGCTCACCACCCGCTCGTGGAAGACGTACGTCGCCGCCGCTATCATTGTGTTCGGTACCGTTGTCATGGTGATTAGTCTCATACAGGCGGTCGCCAAGATGATTAGCAGTATGTTTAACACCCCCCCCCCCTTCCCCTTTTCCCCCTTTTTAAACAAATCACCCTTCCCTCAAGATCATCAGATCAACTAACCACAACCTCAAGGTGACGGCGGGCCTGCAAAGTGCATGTAAATCACTGTATGATTAAAGAAAAAAGAAGAAGAAGACGGGTGGTCTGTTTCGTCTAGAGTAAGAGCAGGAAACCAGCTAGCCGCCCCCACCGCGTTCCAGGCGCGCTGTGGAGAGACGGATGGGATTTGGGTCATAGACAAACCCCGGAACCGTTGTATAACACGTGGTCTTTGGTAGACTACAATAAGTCAGGTATTCAGGGTTTTTAAACATTATGGTATTCCTCTTTTTTGTTCGTTTTTGGGTAGACGCAGCAATTGGGATCGGCGTAGGAATTGCCAAAGAAAAAGCAGCATTTTCTTTAACAAGACGGATTTCGCAACCTTTCCTCTTTTGAAACGGGATGACTTACGAGGTACACAGTCACGGAGCGATGTATGCACTACGGAGCATCGACGAAATGATATTGACACTACATTCTGCTTTAATCCATTTACGGATGTTGAGCTCCCCGCAAGCAGAGATGAGGATCTTCACACTTAAGATCGCTCCCTCCAAATAAGAAAGCCTCTGATAGTGCCGGCGGATAAGACATCTGCATGGGTGCATAAAGGCATAGTTGGCTAAATACTTGAACAAGCAGCACAAAACAGGGACAAAATATAGCCGTAAAGAATCAGACGCTTTTATTTACCATTACAAGTTGTATCTATATCTACAATGGCCGAATTGTAGGGGCCCGTCTGTGTCGGTTCCCAGGGGGTATCATGTGCACGTAACCATCCAATTTCCCATCCATATCTGCAATCCGAAGATCGCCGCGCTTGAACAAAACATAAACTCCTCAAAAGAATCCCAACATGGCGAACAGGCAGAAAGATGCTGCAGCGGCCACGTTCACGTGAGTGATAGAGGCATATGATGCAGCCCCTGACTGAGCGGCGGGTGAGGTCTGCGCAGCGGCGCTGCCTGTAGCAGTCTCATGGCCTCCCAGACCGAGGGCGGGGCCAGTCGTCGGACCAGCTGATACAGCAGATGTTTGGCCCGGGTTGTTAACCACTGCCGGTGTGGCCGAAGCAGTTGCGGTGCTGGTTACTGGTGGAGGGTCGACTCTGGTCGCAAATCCTTTAGGGCCAGCGGTTAGCATCTAAGACGATAAAATGGCAATAACAGTGACGACATACCTATGCGTTTCTGGTCCTTGTCAAATACAGCATAGACATTTTTGAGGAAGACGTCTCCCAAAAGCCAGGCTCCTGCTACGACCTCATGGCCGTAAATGTTGCTTGTGCATGTTCCGTCTGCTGCAGGGCTGGATCTCCAGTCCTTAGGGGAGATAACATAGCTGACACCCGAGAATGTGTATGTTACATCCTTGTTGCTGTCGCACGGCACCTTGTACGTCGTGCCATCGTCCGAGGTAGATCCAGGAATATTCTTGTGGAAGGCAGCGACGTCGGTCTGGGGTCCGAAGACGTAAGAGGTACCAGTATCGACATAAGCGAGCTTGCCAGCTGCGCCAGACTTGAGGCCGTCGTACTGAATCCCATCAAGAGGGATTGCCCAGTCTCCATTGTCGTTTCCAACTCCAGTGTAGGTGATGTTGCCTGTGTACTTGTCGGTATTGCAGGTACCAAAGCTGATTTCGCTCGTGTTCGGTCCATCCGCCGCCCTGTTAAGATATACACAGAAGATGTTTGCAGGAAGTTGGCCGGAACTCTTGACAACTTGCATGAAATTTTCGGTCTCTCCACCAGCCATGGAAAGTCCCAAAATGCCGTCGAAAGGAAAGTGATTGAAATCATCCGACGTCTCGTTGGCCACACCAAATTCGAAGTCAAACTTCATGCCCGCAAAGGAAACGGTGTCGGTAATCTTATCGCCTTTGACTGAACCCGATCCGTAGGCGACAGCAAAAGTCTCCCCCTTTGGCTTGTACGTGTCCGAGTCCGTAGGGCCGTATGAGCCATGCTTCTCGCAAGCCGGCGATGTGCAGGAGCTGCCCATAACCCAACTAGTTCCCGCTCCGGTGTCGATGAGCATCCATAGAGGCTTCTCCTTGGAACCTAATTTGACCTGGGCAAAGTAGGAAAAGTCGGTACCATCCTGGGCGACGGCGGCTGCGGTCTTGAGAGTGGTGTCTGCTGCTGTGACAATGCGATACAGGCTCTGTCTCTTAGACTTGGATGCCCTCTCTCGGATAGCAGCGGATTGGAACCTCGCATACTTGCGGGAAAGACGTTGAACCTCACGGGCAAGTCGTTCGGATTCGGATTCTTCCGTCTAGCAGGTTTTGTGTTAGCATCCCTGGGCTCTGCTTCCCATGTTGTTCTCCAAAACGTGGTGTGATTAGGACCCAAGAGCCTCCTCTGAGTATTCAGAGGGATAGTTCGACTTACCAAAGATTCCTTTGTGATTTGAGGGCCAACATGGAAGCCGGGGAAGTTGATGGCCTTGATGGCATCGACGGCGTCAGATCCAAGGGCATCTTGATCCTTCAACTCCCTCTTGTGGGAACTGCATCCACCTTCGAATGGACAATGCTCAGATACATCCCAAGGAAAGAAGGCGTGAACAGACGTCAAGAACAGGGACAGCTGGGCGAGGACCAAGGTAGAACGCATTATGCCTTAGCTGTGGCTGGCAAGTCGGAGTGACGCTCGGTACGGATACAACGAACTCGCGATACAAAGAGACGAAACGTAAAGCTGTCGAGGGGTAACGTAGGCGTTTTCAAGTTAAGGTCTGGTGGTGATTCAACAGTGCTTGATGTGGTGAATAAGCCGAAGGTAGCTTATGATGGCTGATTGACAATCGAAAGACGTTGGACGCAAAGTGATTCGCTACACAGTCGATTTCGGCAAAGGCAAGCTCGAGCAAGCAAGCGGGTACCAGACTCCGCGATTTCGGACAGATTATGATATTAGGGATTAAGTTGAGCGCATTGAAGGCTGGTAGAAGTTGGACGGAGAGCCGTCAGGAGTCAGGTCGTTTACGAGAGGAATGCGTAATCTTTTGATAGTGGGCTTGGCTGGTGGTTCTGAAATGCTGGACGCGGGCCGGTCGAACCAAGGGTGAGACAATGGAATAGAGGGGCGGATGATCGAGGGCGGCGTGGGCGTGCAGCGGCAGAGACACGATGCAAGACAATGAGACAAGTGCAAGGGTGAAAGGCCAAGGACAAGGGACTAGCAGAAGCGATGAGAGGTTCTGCTGTCTGTCTATATCTGTGACCAAAGACAAAAATAAAAAGGCGAGCAAGGGGAAAGCAACTCTTGAAAAAGGATGAGATGCACCCCGGGGGAAGAGGAGGAGGAAGAGGGTGGAGGTCGGTGAGGTCACGTAAAGTGATGATGTGAGGTGAAGAGGAGAGAGAAGGAGGCGAGGAGGGGATCGTGGGGAGTAGATATGGAGATTTGCGAATCGGAGAGCGAGGAGCCCCGGTTGAGTTGCCAGACCCAGGCGAGCTAAGGCTTCTAGCGACGATGGGCTGGTCCAGGGTCGCAATTGGGAAGTGTGGAAGTGCAGGTGCAGGGTAAACCGCCATGGATGGTGATGGGCGGATAGGCGGGCTGGCAGGGGTACGGAGTACGGGTACCTCACAGCAACTGGAGTTCTGAAGGACGCTACAGAAAAAAGGTCAGACATGGCTTCTCATCGAAAGGAGCTTCACATTGTATCCGTACCTAAGTGAAGGTGAGGTTGGTTATCATGGTGTCAAGTACCTTGGGAGTGTAAAACGGCCGAGAGAATACTTTGGAGCTGGCGGATGATGGCTTCCTCTGCTGGACTGGTGGCTCAACCATCAATGACCCCAAGTGGATGGCTCTAGACTCGAGGTAGTTGGGATGGACAGCAGCTAGTCAGATCTGCACACATGCATGCAATTGCACAGGGGGGGGGGGGACGGCGTTTCTGGCTTGATTGTGGATTGTGGACTGTGGTTGCCATCGGTTGTTCATCGTCTTTGGATTGCCATTGGGTCAAACTTGTCAGTTGTTTCTGGCTTACTCCGTATGTTCAGCGTTGTTTCTCGCGCACCTCCATCTTCCATTTTCGGGACTTGCTTTCTGCCGCGTCGTTCCGTCTTTCCTGTCAGCCGCGGCCTGCCAGTCTCTCTCTTGCTCCTTCCTCTTTCTTTCTGCTCATGTCTTACCAAGGAAAGCCATGCCACGGTCGAGGCCACCCCTGACTTTTAGAGTGAGGTACCTTACACTTGTATCCTTCCTCCGTGCCTTCCATTGGGTGATTGGGTCACGCTTTTTGTGGAGACCACATGGTCCGTGGCGTCATGCAGCTCGCTGTTTCCCAGAGAGAAAAGTGGCAGGAAATACCTAGCAAACCGAAAAGGAAAGAGCCGAGAAACGAGGGAAACACACCACGACACCTTATTGCCTTTCTCTACGGAGTATTGAGTCTTAACATCAACCGAGAAACAAAGTCTCTTCTTTGTGCGCTCATGGGATGAACGATGGGCAATCCATTGGCCAATTCGACCGTCCATTCAGATCAACATGCGACATTGACTGGCCCCCCTGCTTTACGCGTCCTCAACCCCAGCTGTCAATTCTTTTCTCTTTCGGGTCCGCGCTTCTCAGTCTCTAGTCTCCAATCTCCAATCTCAGGGGCGCTGCTGTCAATCAGAGCTTCTTTGCCAGGCTGCTTGTTGCTTGTTGCTCCTAGGGACCACCAACCCATGTGCTGCCTTGGCTTGGTCGGTCCCTTATCTTCCCGGGATCCCACCCCGTCCACGACCTCTCTGGCGTCTGCCGACGCATGCGGCTGTCGTTCTTGATTCTTCCATTAGGTATTCGAGGCCTCGCGGCGTCCTTGTCTTCTGTCTCAAATTCCTTCGCCTTATATCTCGACTGGCCGTCTAGATCGGTCTCAAGTCAACACCAGGCGGAACAAAACTACCGGCAACTCAATCGCTTCGCCGTTTGCATTTTGCATCGCGTCCCATCTCCACCTCAGCAAGCCACCACCTCGTGGTAAAATGCCTTTCGCTCGTCACGGTGGCCTCGGCCGTCGACCGTTACCGTGTGTGGTGGGATACGAAAGTCGAACAGGCAATTACTAGCCGCAGCCATCGAAAAAAGACGCTTAACCTGCCTTGGCGGCATTGGCGCCTCGAAAACAAGGGGCATCTCAACTATCTCCACTTCCAATGTCGCCTTGCTGCTGCTTCGGGCCATCTTCTCCAGCTTCTCTCCAGGCTGTTCCCTTGCACCAAAGGTGGCTACCGGCCCTTTTGGGACGAAGTCGACGAGCCCAAATGTGATGGACATTGGCCCGTCGCCTGTCCGCCTGTCTACCAATCACCACCATCATCCAGCACAATCTTTGCTTCTTGTCTCACTGTCGACGCTCTCCCGAATCTCGCCCGCTTCTCGCTCACTTCTTTTCCATGGACTTGGAAGCTGATCAACCAACCACGTCACAGCTCCCGTTTCTTTTGTCAAAAGCTCCATGACGACTGCATGCGACTACCAGCGCTGTGTCGAGACCATATCTTCGACCGGGAACGTGCGTCTGTTGCCGGACTCGAGCACGGTACTTGCTCGACCGCGCATCCACGTCAATCAAACCATCAAACGGACTGACGGGCGCTGGGACTGGCTCGTGCTCCTCGTGTCATTTGGATATCCGATCTTCCATGCTCAGGACCGTGAGGGTACTACATACTCGAACTGAGATGGTCCACGCTCAAAGTCCATGTTGGATGGAGCTCCCAAGTTGCAGTGCACCGCAATCTTACGTATCTCTGGTCCTGCTGGCTCGCTGCTCTATGTTCGCCTCCTATGTAAAATGGCACGACTGCCTACCTCGGTCATTCTACGAGCGTCTCTCAACGCTCATCTTCAACCTGGAGTCTCTCTAGCCGTTTTGGCCATCATCTCTAGGGGCCCCGGCAGCTTTTGGGAGCTTTTAGAGTCTGGACCAACATCCAACCGTGGTCCAGTAAATGATCAACCAACTAGACTGGAATCACTGGATGAGATCAAAGAAGAAATGCATGCGGCAGATGCTCAATCCGCAGTAGAAATCATCGCCGTCAAGGATCCCGGGCTGCTCCAGGGTCCAATTTGCCTCGAGCCACCTGAGCTTTACACTTAAACTAATTTACCTGGCCCTGTCGTTGCAGGTCAGAGCTTCTTCCCTTTGAGTCGGTTGGCAGTCCTTGAGATCTCAAGAAGACAATTACAGAACCTACCGCCTACAACGCCTAAAAGCCCCTTCCACAAAGCATGGAGCTTAATGAACATTCGCGTCAATACCAAGTCCCCTCCCGCAGTGAAGTCTTCGGCTGGCGGCTTCCTGACCCGATTGTGGCGCTGCACGAGCATTAGCCCAGCCGGTTTGCTTCAGGTAATACCGAGTCAACATGATGTGCGGGCGCCAAATCATACAGACGTTTGCCAATGATGTTTGCGAGTGATCGCTTGATTATTGTTTAACACGATGTGCATCATAACGATCGATGATGAAGTTCGTTTCTATATGCGATGATGTTGCATATGTAGGAGGCGTTGACTCGCAACATTTCATAACGAATTGGCTGTCACCATCTCAGCCATACGTCCTGATCTTCTTCAATGAACTGCTGATGCGGATGTGGTAGGCGGGCAGGGGCTTCCGAATGTGGATGTGATGGACAGGGGTCGTGGCCGCGGAGGGTTTCAGCCGCGAATCACCGAGTCTCGATCAGTTCAGCTTGGCTGTCGCTTGTTGGTCGATTCTTTGCTCCAAGAATGCTCCCAATTACAAGATGCATCGCACTGATATGATGTTGTAACTTGGAAGGCCGGAGCCTTTTGATCTTGTTGATCCCTTGAAGGATTGCCGAGTAAAGTAACGTCAATGAGTGCAGTCATTTCCGAGTATGAAAAAAACCAGGCATGATTCTCCTTAGTATCTCATCTGCGGTGCTCTATGCTCTACGCGAACCGCAATGCTGTTGTTTGTTCTTACTCCCAAAATAAAGCAACAAATGTCAAGTCCCATCTTGACAAAATAATTCAAGGCTCACCCTGGAAGCTCATTGAATATAAGAAATGAGCATGATATATGCTTCGTCCAGAAGTCCAAATTTGTACTCATTCAATCAGCACGGTATCGCGAATTTGCCGGTTTCCTCCTCCTCTAGTTCACCTGTATCATTTTCACTGGTGACTTGTACATGCTACCTGGCCATCTGAGCCGTACATGTCCCACCACGTCCGCGCCGTTCTCAGTACTGCGGCTTCAAGAGAGTCCTCAGCACTGGCTGCTGCCAGCCGCTCATGAACGCTCGCAAATTTATCTCTATCGATTTGTCCCAGTACTGGCCGAGATGCTATGGTGCGTAGAAACCACCAGACAGACTCATTACACCACCGGAGAGATTCAGCCAAACTCAAAGTCTCATTGTAAACCAACGAAACCGTCCCTCTGTCGTCCTTTCCCAGCCTATCAATCAAATAAGCTAGGAAAGACCAGCCGGAAATATCTGAATGATGTCTGAAAGACCACTTCTTAACACTCTGAGTCAGTGGCACAAGCACGTCGAGCTCGGAAACGACCAGGAACGTCCTCGTTAGCCACCGAGCATGAGTCCATGCATAATAGTTACGCGGATGCCGCTCTCCAGCCATCATGACAACCGTCTCGACATCCTGTTGCACCACGACTGGAAGTCCGGCATCACGGTATCGCTCCGACAGCCAGCGTCGATGGTTCCACAACGTTGGCGACTTTGTGTGTCGATGCAGTCGGCTGGTGAGCAGACTATCCACAAACCACGTTTCCCGTGCTAGATTCGCCTTCACGGTGTCACCCGCAGAGATCGCGTCGGAGAGAAGACGCTTCCTGGTATTGGCGGCTGTGAGGTGCTCAGGGTCCATCAGAAGCAGAACGCTTGTGGCAGCCATCAGCTGCTCCCGTCCCACGGAAGAATCACTGGCTTTGTGCTTCTGGAGAATCTGTCTGGCGAAGAGAAAGGCCTGGACGATGCGCAGCTTGGGAATCGCAACTGCGTTCTCGTCTCGTAGGAAGTTCTCGTCCGGGCCCATTGGATGGCCCTGGCCTAGAATCTCGATCTCGAGGAGGCCTTCATCTTGCGGCTGCACAAAAAGCCCAGAGACGTCGTTGAAGATTTTTTCATGGTCGCCTTGTTTCAGGGCAGCGATGATATGCTCGTTCAGAGCTCTCGACATTGCTGTATTGGTGGGTTGTTGAACGGGACCGTCTTGGCCTTGAGCATGTCTGTGAGCCTCACCAAAGAACGCTCGAAGAAGTGGTTTAGTGTGTAACGGCAGCTCTCGAGTGAGTAAGTCTAATCACAGGAATGGCCCCCAATTCTAGGTCAAGACGTTAGATTGAGGCCGTTCAGGTCTTGCTCCGATGGAATGTAAACGCAGGAGTTGAAGGTGATTGGTTCTCGCTGCTTGACGAGGCGGCGAGTGGCTTACAGTGGCTAAGGTCCCCGCTAAAGATGCAATTCGCGGGGCAATGACATAGGACCACGTTTTCTCACCCACCCAAGGGCACGATCGAGAGCCCGGTCACACACCTACCTATCGACAACCTTTCAGCCTCGCACATCACAGACATGTGCCGATAGCTACCGGAAACAACCGCTTGCGAGTCTGTGATCTACCAAAGGGTGTCTACCATGCCCTCCCTACTCGTCATCATTCTCGTGCTGGAGGTGTTCTCCCACCTGGTCAACACCGTCGGAGCTGCCGCCATCAATAATCTGGTCAGTCTGCCTTTTACCTCCCTTTGACTCCTCCTCCTCCCGCCTCCGCGCCCAGCCCGGTCACGGAAAGATCGCCGTGTTTGCTAACAGCCTAGCAGCTCTGGACAACTCTCAACTACCTCCCCATCTCGACCGCCAAGGCAGCCGCGCAGCACCGAAAGCTGCAAGCCGACTTCCTCAAGACGCGAAAGGAGCTGAATGCGACCAGCAGCCAGGATGAGTTCGCCAAGTGGGCCAAGCTCCGTCGGACGCACGATAAACAACTGGAGCAGCTAGAGAAGAGCAGTATGTTACACAAGGCTACGATGTGGCTTTCATGTCGGACTATAGAGATCGAATGGCTAACATGTACACCTTGCAAATACGCAGAGCAAGCCCAGGAAGCATCGAAATCAAAGTTCGACACCTACCTCACTGGCTTCCGATGGGCCCTCACCAAAGTCCCTCAATACGGTATCCCCTTTTGGTTCTCCAAGGAGCCCATGTTCTGGTTGCCGTACGGCTGGTTCCCTTACTACGCCGAATGGATCCTCTCGTTCCCCAAGGCCCCGATTGGCAGTGTTAGCATCGCCTCCTGGCAGTTGGCGTGTTCAGGCATGGTCACGCTCCTCACCGAGCTGATTGTCTCCGTCGTGGGACTCGTGTTTGTGACGAAGCAGGGCAAGAAACAGCCGGTCAAGGTTCCTGCGTCGTCGGGTAAGGCGGCGCCCAAGACCGCGGCTGGTTCGTCCGAGACGGAGAAGAAGGAGTTGTGATGCGGCTAGGCGACTGTGCCGACGTACGGAGTACCTTAGGCAAGCACACATAAAATAAAGTGAATGTCTTTGGCTCATATGGTGGTTCCAACATTGTGATACCGGAAGCCTTTGCTTGTCATTGGCATCCTTTTTGAATTTTACAGGGGAATAAAGATCCCAGAGACGACGCAACCAAGCAGGCAGAGGAAAGTTGTGGCACTCTTAGCAAGTCATACAGATGCCACAGCCAGTTCAAAGGCCACGGCTGCATGCATGAGCATAAGAATTACAGAAGAAAACTTTCATGGAATGTATCTCGTCTAAATTTGACGCAAAGTTCTTAATTGCAAGGCTAAGACTTTGTAACACGATCAAGAATAACCCTTGGCAGGGTATTTGGGGTTTGCTCTAGGCGTCATATTGACTTTGGTGACCATTTGAGTCCTTGCGGACGGCCAACAAAGCTTCGAAAGCGCCATCGTCACGTAGAATTGATCTTCTTGTCTTGCAAAAGACAGAGCTGATGGTTAGTCATTTGATAGCAAGTTGGAAGCTCAGGAAATAACGCTGCTGGCAATAGCAGCTCTGTAATCCGAGAAACTGTTGCCATCTGAAGCACTCGAAAGGCAGATGAGCGATTTCCGAAAGGGAAACAACCTGTAATTTCAGGTGTTGCTTGTTTCTCCTCGTAGTATGAGCTTGTTGTGAATGTAGAGGAAAGAAGCACGAAGCGTCGGCTGTGGATATTTCGCAAAAAATATCTGCGAGGAAAGTGCACCGCCACAGCCCACTTCCAGATCGCGCCACACTACGAGGTTGGTAGACAGATCCATTTCCCGGATTAACCACAGGCCGAGGACCGTGCTCAGCCCCATCGTGCATTCGTCCGGGAGGCAACGACATCAACTTGGCAGCTTTGTGTTTAGTATCTGCATCGACAAGCTTGACCAACAACCCCCATCGAACGGTTCGGAGCTCCCGCCATACATCAAAATGGCGCCGGCACAGGATACCATGTTTCGCTCGGCGAACATGAGTATGGTGCAGCTGTACATTTCGAACGAAATCGGTCGCGAGGTTGTCACAGCCCTTGGAGAGCTTGGTCTCCTCCAGTTCCGTGATGTACGTCGCCAACCCCCTTCCCGGATACTATTGAGGTTCAATCAACATCGAAGCTGACCACTCATAATCTATTTAGCTCAACGGAGATGTCAGTGCTTTCCAGCGCACCTTTACTCAGGAGATTCGAAGACTCGACAATGTCGAACGCCAGCTGCGTACGTCATCATTCCCCCAACCGCACATCACGAACCCTTGGGTTGGAATAGACTAACATCGCGGCAGGCTACTTCTACGCTCAGATGGAGAAGGCAGGAATCCCTCTTAGAAAGTTCGATGTCGATGCCGAAAGACTCGCCAACCCGTCGACCTCCGAGATTGACGAGCTCGCCGAGCGAAGCCAGAGCCTCGAACAACGCGTCTTCCAACTTAACGACAGCTACGAGACCTTGAAGAAGCGCGAAGTCGAGCTCACCGAGTGGCGCTGGGTTCTCCGCGAAGCCGGCGGCTTCTTTGACAGAGCCCACGGCAGCGTCGAGGAAATTCGCGCTTCCACTGATAACGATGACGCTCCTCTCCTCCAGGATGTCGAGCAGCACAACTCGGCCCCCGAGGTCGAGCGGTCCTTCTCCGGCATGAACATTGGCTTCGTGGCTGGTGTTATCAATAGGGACCGTGTTGCCTCCTTCGAACGCATCCTCTGGAGAACGCTGCGCGGAAACTTGTACATGAACCAGTCTGAGATCCCCGAGCCGCTCGTCGACCCCACCAACAACGAGGAGATCAACAAGAACGTGTTCGTCATCTTCGCCCACGGCAAGGAGATCTTGGCCAAGATTCGCAAGATCTCCGAGTCCATGGGTGCTGAGGTGTACAACGTGGACGAGAACAGTGACCTTCGTCGTGACCAGATCCACGAGGTCAACGCTCGCCTTAACGACGTTCAGAACGTTCTCCGCAACACTCAGCAGACTCTGAACGCCGAGCTCACCCAGATCTCTCAGGCATTGTCAGCTTGGATGGTCTTGGTCACCAAGGAGAAGGCTGTGTACAACACGCTCAACAACTTCTCGTATGACCGTGCTCGCAGGACTCTCATTGCCGAGGGTTGGTGCCCGACGAACGACCTGCCGCTGATTCGTTCTACGTTGCAAAACGTTACGAACCAAGCTGGACTCTCGGTGCCTTCCATCATCAACGAAATCCGCACCAACAAGACTCCGCCTACGTACATCAAGACGAACAAGTTCACTGAGGCGTTCCAGACCATTGTCAACGCTTACGGTACCCCCACTTACCAAGAGGTTAACCCGGCACTCCCTGTTATTGTTACCTTCCCCTTCCTCTTCGCCGTCATGTTCGGTGACTTTGGTCACGCCGTCATCATGGTCTCTGCCGCCCTCGCCATGATCTACTGGGAAAAGCCTCTCAAGAAGGTCACTTTCGAGTTGTTCGCTATGCTCTACTACGGAAGATACATCGCCTTGGTCATGGGTCTTTTCTCCCTCTTCACCGGTCTTATCTACAACGATGTCTTCTCCAAGTCCTTGACGCTGTTCGACAGTGCCTGGAAGTGGGATGTTCCCGACGACTACAAGCCTCCTCAGACTCTGACTGGTAAGCTCAATGACCACGGTTACCGCTACCCCTTCGGTCTGGACTGGAGATGGCACGAGACAGACAACGACCTTCTCTTCAGCAACAGTTACAAGATGAAGATGAGTATCGTTCTGGGTTGGGCCCACATGACCTACTCCCTCATTTTCGCCTACGTCAACGCCAAGCACTTCAAGAAGCCCGTGGATATCTGGGGTAACTTCGTCCCTGGCATGATCTTCTTCCAGTCCATCTTTGGATACCTCGTCATGTGTATTCTCTACAAGTGGTCCGTCAACTGGAGCGACCCTCAGAACCCCCGCAACCCTCCTGGACTATTGAACATGTTGATCTACATGTTCCTGCAGCCCGGTAAGCTCGAGGAGGGCGCGCAGCTCTACCCCGGACAGGCCACTGTCCAGGTCTTCCTTCTGCTTTTGGCCGTTATCCAAGTCCCGATTCTGTTGTTCCTGAAGCCTTTCTGGCTCCGCTGGGAGCACAACCACGCTCGCGCCAAGGGTTATAGGGGCATTGGAGAGAGCTCTCGCGTTAGTGCTCTCGACGGCGATGATGACGAAGATCACGGACTCAACGGCCGCCCCAGCTTCGAGTCTGATGGTGAAGGCGTTGCTATGATCACGCAGGACCTGCACGGTGATGGCGAGCACGAGGAATTCGAGTTCAGCGAAGTCATGATTCACCAGATTATTCACACTATCGGTAAGGAATACGAACATAAACACTCAAGACGGCAATAAAACTGACGATGCATACAGAATTCTGCTTGAACTGCGTTTCCCACACCGCCTCGTACCTTCGTCTCTGGGCCTTGTCACTTGCCCATCAGCAACTCAGTTCCGTCCTTTGGTCCATGACCCTTGGGCCCGCTCTTGGTTTCTCTGGCATCTTTGGTTCTATCGCTATCGTTGTGGTCTTCTACATGTGGTTCTTCCTTAGTAAGTTGTGATGCTTCCCTTCCTTCTCAACAATTACTAACAGCGCACCCAGCTATTGCCATTTTGGTCATGATGGAGGGTACCAGTGCCATGTTGCACTCCCTTCGTTTGGCCTGGGTCGAGTCCTTCTCCAAGTTCGCAGAGTTTGCTGGTTGGGCATTCCAGCCGTTCTCTTTCACTACAACGTTAGAAGAGTCTGAAGAGCTGAAGGAGTACCTCGGTTAAGAAGCTTCAGCTGGAGGTTTCTTGAGAGTGTGATGTACTGCAATTCTTTTTTCATTGTAACCTTAGTCCATCTGTAACATAGCTCAATGCACTAGAGCATTAAGTATTTAAACGTGCTAGGCTGCCCGCGTGATTGTCGTGAGTGTGATGGTTATACTACATGATGGCGTGTAAAACGCCGTGAAATGAACACCTTGCATCCAACGTGGGAAAAAAAACTCGTAGACCCCTTAACCCCAAAGCGGCGCCGTGACCTCGGCGGCGTGTTCGCAGACACGTCTCACACGGTCAGCAAAAGCCTTGTGACTGCAATCCACCTCCAGATCCTCCAACCAGACGACAGCCTCCATCTTGTCGACCTTGATACGGATACCCGGTACGGGGATGCCGAGCTTAATGAGGCGCTCAATCTCTGCGCGGCGCCGCGCCTCCAGCCTCTTCTCCTGCTCCGCCTCCGCGTCGTCGTCGGACACGTCCATGGACGCGTCGCTAGCGTCGTCGGACTTGATTGCCTTTGTTGTGGCTGCTGCGTCGTCCTCGGGCTGCGGCGGGAGACGGGGCTCGGCGACGGGGTTGACGTTGTCGGCACCGAACTGGGCCTCGAGGAACATGAGGAAGCGTTCGAGGCGTTCTGTGGCTGGGACGTTTGCGTGAGGGTTCTTGAGGAGGGGTTTAGGGGCGTGGTCGTGGTCGTGGCTGTGGGAGGCCGCGGAGCCTGAGTAAAGTTTGTTAGCAAATTGTGAGAGAAACTCTTGGAGACATGGAATCAGAATGATTCAGTAGAATAGGAACATACGTTTTACTGCTGCGGGACTGCTCTCGATGGAGAACAGACACGCCATGACGGCGTCGGCAATACCGTCGTTGAGCATGTTGCCCTCCCACTCGAGCTCGACCTCTCCATCGCTGCGGTACCGCACAGCGACGCAGCCCATGACCAAGTACGCGGCCACGAGGCGGGCGACCTCCTCGTCAGCCGCCTCCTCGCCCATCTCCTGGTCAGCATCATCGCCTTCGCCTTTCTCGACGCCGTTCCCGTTACCGCTGGCGACTGCAGCACCGTCAACGGCCTTGTCGTGAGCCGGGTGACCCTTGCGCATCTCGGGGAGCTCCTCGACGCTGCCAAAGACGCCCTCGAGACCCCAGCGCACGAGGTCGACGCCGGCGGCCGTGAGGCGGAGGCGCTGCTTGCAGGTGATTGTGGTGGTGTTGAGACCGGCATACTCGCGCAGGTCCTCGGGTGCCATGAGGGAGAGCTTGAAGTCGTTTTGGACGAGGACGCCGGTGACAAGCTGCTGCGGCAGGGAGGTGGGGTCGGAGAGGGATGTCGGGGGAGGGATGGTGGCGAGCTTGCCGACGACTTTGGCCGTCTTGTCCTGCTTGAAGGGGATGCGGAGCTCCTCGCAGTTTTTGGGACTAAAGACCTTAACTTTTGCCGTCTTACTTGCGTTGAGGGAGAGGAGTTTGGATTTAAGACGCATCATGTTATGTTGTTCGCCGTGGACGAGGATCTTTTGAAAGTGTTAGTCTCCTTTTTCCTTCTTCGGAGGGTTGGTATGTACGAGAAAGGGAAAGGGGGTTCACTTACTACCACGGGAGCTGCAACTTCCTCGATGAACTCACGGTTCTCCGTGCCATCAACGTGAGCCGCAAAGGAGTACTCGGCAACGCTGCACCGACGGGGGATGAAGACCTTTTCGCTCTCCCCGCCGGGTCCGCGCCGGGCACCAGCCGTCGTCCGGCTCATGACGGCCTGGATCTGGTCGGGCTCCTGCATGATTTGCTTGGCCATGGTGCCCTCGACGCTGTAACCGGTGATGATTACGCCGTTCTTGTCGTTAGGGGCCCACCTCTCGAGGAGTTCTCTACTCACGCCGTTCTGTAGCATACCGGGACTGGCAAGCATGACGCAGCCCCCAACGTCGTCGAAGCGGTCGAGGTTCTTGAGGGAGCGGATGTACTTGAAGTCCCAGGGCCCGCCCTTGCCGGAGCCGTCACCGGATGCTTCGGCCTCGGCCATGCGCTCACGGAAGAGGCGCTTGATGTTGTCGTTCATGGCGCCGACGTAGGTCTGGTAGACGACCATACACTTCCTGGCGAGGTTGCTGGCGTAGTAGATCGGGAACCGTTGGAAGTCTGCGTGCTTGCCCCAGTACTCGTCCAGAATAAGCAGAAGCTCCTGGGCTCTGCCGAGGGCGAAGACTGGCATCAGGACCCTGCCTCCGCGGTTAAGGATGCTGGTGATCGACTTCATCAAGGCCTGCTCGCGCTCCAGTCGGGGTACATGGGAGGCAATGCCATAGGTCGACTCCGTGATGAGGACATCGATCTTGACGCCCTTAGGGACTTCTGCTGAGACCAAATGTCTATCTTGCTCTCGTGAGTAGTCTCCGGTAAAGAAGATTTTGAGACCCGCAATCTCGATGAGGAACATGGCAGCTCCGAGGACATGGCCAGCAGGATAGGGCGTAATGCGGATGGACGAAATGGTGTGTGTGGTGTGGTAATCAATGGCCTCGATTTGAGGGAAAGTGTTAAGATGGTCTGCTTCCGTGTAGACTGGCTGTGACGTTGGGTTGGACGAGGTATTTCCAACACGGACACTGTCTTGAATGAGCCACTTATAAATGGCCTTTGTGGGATGGGTCATAAAGACCCGGCCTCTGAAGTTAGTCTTTGATAAGACGTATGGCAATGAAGCCGCATGATCGACGTGGAAACTGCCACCTATTAGCATGTTCAACGCCAAAGTGTCATACAACACCAAATACTGTAGGGCGACAACGCCAAGAGCTATCACAACGGCGAGAACGACAAGGCAAGGCAGGTGGGAAGAATGAAGTCTTTGTATTGGTTCTGTGTACAAGAATGAAATAGCATAAGAGGCGTAGCAAGAGGCTCCATCAGGTGCAAGAGTCGCCAAAAGGCACTCGCTGTTCCTGAGCCAGGGGCATGATCCCAGGTATTGTTTTCCAAGTTCGTTCACCGCCTTGCCCTGTGATCCAACAGCATATGGGAGGGGGAAGAGGGGGCTTACTGGCTGATTAGGAGTACATCGACCGTACTAAGATCGAAGTCGTCGAAGAAAGGCAGCGCCGCAAGGCCATCGTATGCTGGGTGTTGGCCAGCATCAAGCTGTAGGAACGGTAGTTAGTATCCGCCTGTTGAATGGATGAAGGGAGGTTGTGCTCGTACCATTACTGTCTTGCCCTTGTATTGGATGATGTGACATGACCTGCCGACTTCGTTGCCGCCTCCGAGACAGAGAAACATCAGCTCGTCAGCAGGGTCGACCGGTTCCTCGGAAACGGTGGCGGCCATGGCCGAAGCCTTTCTCTTTGACGCCATAGCTGCAAGGGTCGCAAGTCGCAAATAGTCGATCGGCCTGTAATCGCAAGTATCGCGCCGATTGGTGGCGGTCAATTTCCGATTAGATCATCTGTCGCAATGAAGTCGGCGCGGAATGGGTCGTCGATGAGGCGGTGACGATACTGCCACGGGTTGGAGCAGAGAAGTTAAGTAGCAGTTAACAGGAGGTGGTCAACGGGCGACGCGCAGGGTCACGTAAAAGTTGGCGGCAGCTGTCTGGTCCGCTACCAAGCTCCAACCTAAACGCTTGGACCATGTTGCGCTTAGGCGGGGACAAGGCTGCGCTATCACGTGACTTTAAATGAACGCGGTCCTCAATTCTTTCCGGCGACAGCTCCTGCTTCCATCTACGTGGTACCCCGTCGCTTCGATCATCACCAGACTACCAACACGACTGAGCAATACGCACGCGCGAACGTCACGCTGTCGCAGCAACAATATCCTGCGATTCCGACGCGATCTGGAAGTTTTGTACTTTGGCCGACTAGACCGGCACGTCAGATGGGCAGAGTCGCGTGAGGATTGCTCAGGCTGTCCGGCTTGCTGAGCTTCACCAGAGCGAGCGGCTTCTGACCATTCTCTCGATTCGATCGCATCCTATCTCAACTACTTGTAATAACAGCTGAAAAGATGGCGCAACCCCAGCCTCAGATGCCTCAGAGGGCATTCTCGCCTCCTCAACCTACACCATCTCCTGCTGCGACGCAAGCCGGCTTTGCGCCTCCGCCTAATAAAAGACCGCGACTTTCCCCTGGCGCAACTCCCCAACCCGAGTCGCCGTATTCTACTTCACCCTACGCACCGAGCCCAGGCGCGCCGGTCACTCCTTCCACCGCTGCGACGTCTGCTGCGTCTCCCGTTTATCCAAACGTTCAGCAGCAGCAGCAGCAGCAACAGCAGCAGCAAGCCGCGACGCCAACCTACACGGGACCATACCAACATACAAACGGCAATACCACCCCGGCTCTTGCCCTTCCATCAGCTCCGACTCCCCCACCGCAAGTGTCAACTCCGCAGCCACCGGCGCCGCCCACTCTGCCACAATACACCTCTGCCACTCTGGCTCTCGGCAACACTAATTCACCTAGCACACCCATCATGCAGCAGCCTTCGACTCCCGGCGCGATGGGTCCGCCTTCGAGACCTCCCGATCGACCACAGAAAGAGTACGAATACGACGTGACAGATTCGCTGGCAGGTACAGGCATCGATTTACGAGCTGAGGAGCAGTTCCTGTCCGAATTGTACGTCCCGGAATCAAGAACAGGCTTCGCTCCCTACCCCCAGGGCAATAAGGGGAGCTTCTACGGCGCGGGTCCTGCGAACCAGCCTGCTCAGCCAGCCGGCACCGATACTCAGAACCAGTTGGTAGCACAGGCGGCGGAGAAGGCATGGCAGGAATCTGCAAAGCGTCTGGCTCAGACCCGGACTATGGAGTTGAATAATGCTTTCTTGCAAGTTCCAGTCGTCTATCGCAAAGCAGAGAAGTTTGCCAGAGATCAAGGCCTGATACTCAACCTGGAGACGAAGAATAGCAACCAGCCTATGGGGCGGATGCGTCTGCCTGAAGAGTTTCCTGCGCCTACTGTGACGGTAACCACTAAGAAAGGACCGGACTCGACCATGGTGACAACGACAGGAACTTGGATACCTCAAGAGGCTTTTCTGGTGGATCAGCTGGCACTGCTGTCGCTGGCTACTAAGCAGCGGCTCAGAACGCTCATGGAAGATTCCAACCGAATTGCGAAAAACCGTCAGACTTCGTCGCATGGTGAAGTCCCGGAGGAATGGCAAGTGGCCGCGGCACCACTGAAAAGCGCGCCGGAGACGCAAACAGAGGATGGAACACAGCAGAGTGCGACTGAGAACGGCGCCAGTCCTCGCCCGAGCGCTCAGAAACGTTTGTGTACACGTTATCCGTGCCAATATATCATACTGACACTTATGTAGGCCCTCTTGAAGATGCTACTTCCAGCCAGGCGAGCAAGGTTCAAAAGATCTCTGCTACGAACACCATGAGCCACACAGTCCGCGAAGTGGGCAAGGCTGAAAGAGACTGGGAGGAAAGACGACTACGGAAGCGTAACGCTCGGAAGGATGGAACCGCAGAGGTCGCATCGACGCCATCACGTGCCGGATCCGTTGCACCTGGAACCCCTGGCGGTTCAGCACCTGACTCAGAAAAGGCCATCTCGAAGAAGGAACAGAAGAAACTTGATGCTGTGAAGAAGGCAGAGGCTAGCAGCCATGCAAATCAAAACATCACGAGCAGCATGTTCGTTGGCATGCCCAAGACAGGATCACTCTTCGGAAAGAAGAAAGGCGGCAAGTCATACTCTTGGATGACAGGCGGCAGTGGAGCCAGCACACCGAGACTTGGCACTCCCGGAAAGGCGGGTGCCGCAGCCGCTTCGGGTCCTCCTGCTCCGGCGAACCACGCGCTTACCGTTGAGGGCCGAGCGCGGCTTGGTAATTGGCGAGAGGATAAGGAAAAGGGCAAAGGCATCCAAGTTCGCGACTGGGTGGCAGCCCTGGAGGGTGACGAAATCGAACTGAGGGCCATGCAGGCGGCTTACGATAAGCTGGACACATCGGAGCCCAAATAGAAGAAGGGCAACGAAAAACCAATCCAAAAGTCAAAATCGAAATCACTGTTGTACTTTTATTATTAGCATGGCGTTACGCAGACAGCATGGATAAGGGATCGCGGTCGGTCTGCATAGTAGTATCTTTCAGGGGGGTTCAAAAAATGGGCGGCCAAGCTGGTTAGGCCACGAAGATGCCAAACGACCAAGCCTACATATCCAGGAGAGAAAGGATGAAAGGACTCCTTTGCTCAGTCGCTTGGGAGACGGACAGTGAGAGAAGATCCCCTCAGAGCCTCGTCCTCAAACAGGAGATTTTACTGAGAATCGTCAAATACAAATCGTTTGCCAGTACGTATCGGATATTTCACGGGCTAGCCTTCCCCGAGAGATAGTGAGTGAGAGAATAATGTGAGTAAGCGACCGCTGGCAGCAAGCCCATCACGGTACGCGAGCGATGCATGTCTCGGGGCTCTCTCGGATGGCACACCAGACTCTCATTCGTCGACGTGTACGCAAGCGGCGACCTCACTCGTGAGATTGTATCCGAGCCGTCCGCTGAATCAGCCAGAGCCCAGCGATTCGTTTAGAATCGGTGGAAGGTGTGCCAAAGATTGTGAAGTGTTCCGTAGACTCGTCACGTTCTTCGATGTCGTCACGTCACGGTGATGGGCTATCACATCTTACCGAAGGTGAGATAGGTATTCCATTTCGATGGGATTCTGAATCTGCCTTGCTAACCCCGGAATGTGCCATGCTCCTTAGTAGCCGTTCCCGCTCCAAGAAACTAAATCGACTCGGCGGTGGCGCCGTGGCGGAAAATTCGGCACTACGTGTTTTCCAAATACCTAGTCTTCACTTGCATGCATGGCACCATGGGCGCTTATCATCGTTTTCCTTTGACCGAGATGAAGATGGGGAGGGGGAGGCTGGGAGGCAAAGGCGGTGGACGAACAACGTGGGATGGTTGGCATCAGACATACATAACACTATTTGATTCCAACAGGACTGACAAATACTCTAAGGCTGAAGCTTGAGAGGAACCCCCGGTGAAAAATAATTGATGACTGAAGCTTCTGCATAAGCTTCTTCTACTTGGACCTTCTCTCGTCCACACCCTTGCCCATTGTTTGCATGTTTTGGGCCTATCCGTAAGCTCATGTGGAGACAGGACCGGCAAACATGGGGCGGGGATCGCAATGTCTTGACATCGATGGCGTTCGGTTGGGGCTGCCGCTAAGACGAACGTAGAACGAGTTGAGACTTGGGCTGGGGGCTGTTCTTCTTCTTTCGCTCTCTCTTTCTTCCACACTCATCAAGTTTTCTCTGCCGTGTGTCTGCGTGTAATAGCTCCGCTCCAACAACTCAATTGAGATCGGCGGCAAACATGATTGGGGGGCAATCAGAGACTTTTGAATGCAGGTCTCTTTTGGACCTTGCCAACTTGCCTCTAATGCCCCTTTCGGAAACGGTGCATGGGGCCTAGCGGTGAGCCGGACTGGGCTCCGGCCCATGGGATGCATCAACTCCGTTACCCCGGCGTAGGATGAGCAACGTTTTGGTGGAGCGAAAAGGAAGAAGAGCATCCCAAGAGGGTACCGTACCTTACACATCACAACCCACGCGCTATCCAATGCTTTCTTGCCTTAGCTCGGCACACCGAGCTAGCCCCGGAAGCTCCCAAGAAAGACTGGAAAGATCGAGGGGATCTCGCGCGAACTCGCTTCGCTAGGTAAGCCTTACTTAGCCAAAGTTGGCTTTGCTTGGGCGGCTATGCGTGCTCTGAACGCCACCATTATTTTATGCGAGTTGCGGCCCGCTAGTGAAGTTCTAGACGGCGTGAATTACAATTACTTTGCTGACATCATGGGCTGCAGGTGCCAGGTGGATGGAAATGGTGCTGGTCATGGTTGAAGCTACTTGGCTGGGTGGATGGGCATGCGGGCGAGAGCAAATGAGGATTTTCCACTCGTACAATTCGCAAGCCCCCCATTGCGGATGGAGTTATGCCCGGAACGATGTTGGTAGTTGACTGGGTGTGTCGGTTTGCCAGTGTATAAGTATAACAGCCTGGCTTGGTCCATATCACCTTTGCTGTTAGACACGATCCAAGACAACTCAATCTCAATCTAAGACGGCCCCTTGCACACTCCGTCTATACAGTATCGCAACGGTTAATCTTCAAACGTCGAAATGTTCAAGCTACTTTCAGCAACTCTCCCGGTTGCTTTTGCGACCCTTGCCGCGGCCAAGTCGTGTCAGAATCTCACAGTCGAAGTTACAATCTCATCACGGAACGGCGTCTTCAATGTCTCAACACCGAAGACAAACATTGATGTCACAAATATCATGCTGGGCTTGGCACAGCAGGGCAACAACTTCTCCGCAACCCATCTCACAGATGTAAGGACTCCCCCACCATCCATAGCTCACAGCACACACCAAAAGACATTACACAATGTTAACATGATATGCCCATCGTCTAGTACGCCACAGTCGGAGGAACATACCACCTCGCCTCAACCTACTGCCAACCAGACTCCGGCCCAGGCTCCGTCCTCCAGATCCTCACCCATGGCATCGGCTTCGACAGGAGCTACTGGGACTTCCCCGCCAACAACTACAACTACAGCTATGTCGGCCCCGCCGTCGACGACTACGGCTACTCCACCTTCGCCTGGGACCGCCTCGGCATCGCCCAGTCCTCCCGCGGCGAACCCATCAACGAGATCCAGGGCTTCCTCGAGCTCGCCGCCCTCAAAGCCTTGACGGACAAGCTTCGCGCGGGCGCCGTCCCGGGCGTCCCCTGCACGTTTGACAAGTACGTCCACGTCGGCCACTCGTTCGGTTCCGTCCACTCGTACGCGCTGTCTGCCATGTACCCGAACGCCTCGGACGGTCTGGTATTGACAGGGTTCTCCGCCAACGCTACCTTCCTCCCGGATTTCTTGCTGGGCGGTGCCTTCATCCAGGCGAACCAGATCCCCGCGCTGAGCGACTACGTTGACGGGTACTTTGCGCCTGCGTACGAGGGCGGTGCGCACATCAACTTTTTCGCGCCGGATAACTTTGACCCTGCCATCCTGACGGCGGCGTATAAGACGGGCAAGCCGGTGACTGTGGGCGAGCTGCTCACGATTGGCGGCGAGGCTGGCACGACGAGCGGATTCAAGAAGCCTGTTCTTGTCATCACGGGTGGTAAGTCTTGAGAGCATATGCGGAAGCTCATCCAGTTGATATAGGAAGGAGAGCCTATTGTAAGCTAACGATTGGACCTTTAGAACGCGACGTTCCCTTCTGCGGTGGTGATTGCCTTGCAACCGGCAACCCTGAGCTACCCTCGATTCCGGCTGGCGTTGCGCCGCTGATCAAGAACGCGAGCTCTTTTGAGGCTTACGTTGTTCCCGACGCTGGCCACGGCTTGGCATTCGTAAGTTTTTTTCTTGTCGAGCTGAAATGATTTTTCAGAAAGTTTCCTAACGCAAGTGATCACAGAGCTACTCTCACGTCGAAGTCACTAGCAAAATCCAGGACTTCCTTGCGCAGAACGGGCTTGCCAACTAAAGGTAGAGTTCGAAATCATTGGTAATGAAATGACACTGGATGGGGGTGCTTCAACTTCATGTCATAGATTGTCATCCTTTGAAGCAAAAGTCTTCTAGCGAATTAGTGCACTCTCATTTTCATGATATCAAGATAAATAATATGCGTAGTTTACATCATTTGCTTTTGACTCATTGCATTGCTCCTTAGTTGTTCAATTGACTTGGTAGATCAATTGCAAGAAACGTGATTCTACACAGGCGTAGAGATGTGAAAATGGGTTCATAGCCAAATCATCTGATATGACTGCACGATACCCTTGAAGTGACGGATTATAATCATACCCGAAAGAGCTTACCTACCTTGCCGTGCTTGCCTTCTTCCCCATCCAAATATCCGCGCCTTAAAGGCACTACTCGCCAAATGACGTCGGCTTTCACTAGCCCCCGGATCCGGATCCGACGGTTCAACACGGTAGGATCAAACTACCGAAGTACCTTACCCCAAAGTCTGACGTGAGACAACAAAAACCACCACGAGAAAGCAAAACTCACATACATTGAAGAAAGCCCACCCTCTCTCACTATTAAAACCTGAGACCACTTCTCCAAGTTCCATACACACACACCATATTTCTTATACCCTATTGCAGAAAGTGTACTTTCTTCTTTCCCCCCCAACAATGCAGCTCTGGTCTCACAAGGCGAAACAAGACGCCCTGAACCAATCAGACGAAGAGCGGCGTCAGCAGCCCTCGTTGCGCGAGATGCTCGACAACAAGTCCAAAGCAACCGAAGGCGATCACAAGGACTCATCCGATCCGATACCGATCATTCTATGCGGTAAGACAGAGGCGATTGGTCGCGGCGTCATCGAGGGCCTGAAGCCGGAATATGAAGGTAAGTTTCCAAGACACCGCATTTTGGGCAAACAAGGGGAAAGGCCGAGTTATGAGACCGAATTAATGGGACCGGACCCAAGAGAGTCTTGTAGAAGTAAGCTCACAATACCCCAAAAACAGTCATCCACTTCATCACCTCCCCCGCCTCAGGAGCACTCATCATCCCAGCCCTCTTGGCGTCGTCTCCACCGCCGCAGCACCCAGACACCAGCACGATCGGCAGCGGAAACTACGCCTCCACCCCACGCGCCATCGTCCTGGGCGGCGCATTCGACGAGGAGGCCGTGAAATCCCTTCAGAACGCCGTCGTCGAACAAGGGGCTGCTGCTGCGTCGAGAAAGGTTCCGTGGCTGAGGCACGACGGGAGTAAAGCCGCGCCGCCTCCGGGGCCAGAGTACGGCCAGGCCATGGTCGCGAGGGTTAGGGAGAAGTTGGGCGAATTGGAGGGGGAGGGGAAGTTGGATGGTGGATATGGGGGTGATGAGTGGTATTAAGTTAAAAAAAAAAGATGCCGGAGGATTGGTGATGATCTTGCCGGCAACATAAATGGTAGCATGGGGGCTTGAAATGACGGTCAGGTATTTGATGGTATCATGATGCATCAAAATGAGGCCGCGCAACAGAAACGGTTCAAACATGGCACACAACCATCGGGTAGATCAGGCAGATTACGATAAAGTTCATTAATCCAGACGGATATTCCGCCATTCATGCTAAATCTCCTCTTCATGGTATCATTAAATATGTGAAGGTGAATAGAACATCCTGCTTTCTTCACGCATTGCTTCCCCCCCTCTCCCAGCCACTTTACTCCCAAAAGATCACTCAATCGCAGTCCTCCTACGAACTGGAAGTGGAGTTGATGCTGAAGCGGTAGCTGGCCTGGAGGACATACGGGTCACCGCCGGGCTCGTAGATCTGCTTCTTGGTGCGGCCCCAGGCGGGGTTGTTGATGCCGTCGATCCAGTCCTGGACCTCGAGCACGACGCAGCCGTACTTGGGGATGATACGGGGGAACTTGGCATCGTCAAACAGACCCTGGCTCTTCTTGAGGGCCACGGAGCCGTTCTGCTGACTGCAGCTGTACATCTGGAAGGCGTCCTGGTCGGTGTAGACCTCGAGCTGGATACCGGACCACTCGGACTGCATACGGGCGACGTAGCCCTCGGTGCGCCAGTTGTAGGGGCCCAGGTCGTTGCGGTTGACGATCCAGCAGTTGTCTATATTTATGTGGTTAGCTTTCATGTGTTGTAGGATAAGAATTGGTCAATGCTTACCATAGCCAGTGCAGTTGAAACCGCAGTTGTTCTTGAGCTCGGGCTTGGAGAAGTCGGCACCAATCTGCTTGGGCGCGCTCCAGAAGTCGTTGACGGAGCCCTTCTCGTTGGCAAGGATCTCACCGGTGGGGATGAGAATGTTGTCAACGCCCACTCTCTGGCCATTGTAGGGCATGTGAAGGGTGTGGTTGAGAGCCAAGCTGGTCTCGTTGTTGGAGAAGCCGTCGAGGTTCCAGTAGGTGTGAGAGCTGAGCATGATGGGCGTCTTCTTGGTGGTGGGAACGGCGATCATCTTGAAGTCCCAGTTCCAGCCGTTGAGGGTGTAGGTGATGAGCGACACGACTTCGCCAGGGAAACCCTCCTTTCCGTCAGGGTCGGTGAAGGAGAAGGTGATGCTGTTATTGGTGTGGGAGACAATGGTGAAGTTGCGCCAGTCCCATCCGTCAGAGCCTCCGTGGAGGGTGTCGAGGCCATTGTTGTCGTTGAGGTCGATCTGGTACTTCTCGCCGTCAATCTCAAAGGTGCCGTTCTTGATACGGTTCGCGTAGCGACCAGGGACACCGCCGAAATGGGGGTGCTGGCGATCCGTCTCGTAGTAGGTGGCGTTGTCCCAGCCAGCGACAATATCGCGGGGGATGCCGTACTTGTCGTTGATGATGAAGTCGGAGACGGAGGCACCGTAGGGAATGAAGGCGGCCTTGATGTGTTCGCTGGAGATCCAGTACTTGCCGTCCTTGTCAGGACCCAAGGAGGAGGGAGCCGTGGTGTTACCACCGGATCCGCCAACGAACTGGGCCAGGGAGGTGGCCGGGGCGAGCAGAGCTCCGACAGCGACGGGGAGGAATGTTGAGCGCATCGTGTAGGTGTGCCAGGCAAGGTAACAGAGGATTGAAGCACAGAGAACGGCGGACCAGAACAGAGGATGATGGCGGTGGGACGGACAGCAGAGCTTGTGAGAGGGGAAGGTGGGATGAAGCGGGAGCTTATATCCCAATGGCAATGGTGCTCCTCCCCTCATGCGGGAGGAGCGGAGAGACTTGCACATGGCAGTAAGAATGGGACGATATTGATCATCGGACCAACGAAGCTACGTTATGCAGCTCGAGGAGGGCAGAGCAGGGCCGCAGAGTGCAGAGAACCAGCTCCACTCTACTCTGAGGTGAGAGGGGTGACGGGTCGGGGAGAGGTACACCGTATCCCGGACGCGTGGGAAGAAGAGGAGGACGAGAGCAGAAAGCAGCAGTAGCAAGGGCCGATCAACGGATTGGATGCGACGGCATGATGTTACTGGAGCGTCTAGACGAACATGTGGTGGTGGAATCCTTCCGCTTGTCTGGTGCTTTGTGCGTGGTGCTAGGTGGTGGCCCCGGCAAGAAGAAGACAAACAAAACAAGCTGGGCCGAGCTAATGAATGACTAGCTAGCTAGTCGTAGCGTGAGAAAGCTTTTTCTTTCGGTGGTCAATGGCAAGTAACGTTGGGCGAGCCGAGATGCAGGAAGCCGGGATGTGAGCGTGCGGAGCAAGTCCCAAGGTAGGCGTTTCCGCGTGAGGTAGCTAGCTAGGTGTGCTAGGTAATTCAATTGCTCATAAATTGAGGTGAGGTGCAGGGGAGCCAGCTCCGGACAAGCAGCAAGGCAGGGCGAGGCTGGGTCGACGGTGAGGTCGAGAATGGCCGCGATGATACCCTCTCCAATGGGACGAGCGGGGTACAATTGGCGCGTGGTTGGCTGCCTTTTGTGCTTGGGTAGCTTTCAGGAACAGGGCCGGCTAGGACAATGGGCCAAAAGTTCCTTCTGGGATTGGTGGGTTGGATTGTCGTTCCAACAGCGATGAGGAAGAAAGGACTCAGAGTCCGGGGTATGGTTGCCGGGACCGGACGCGATGACGACGTTGGGAAACTTGGGAAAAACTTGGGGGAAGAGGAGAGATCCCCATGGTCCATGGATGCCGGGGGTGGGGAGTTGGAGAGAGATAGAGAGAGAGAATGGAGAAACAGGGGACGGCTCGGTGTCGGGAAAGGCGTTTATGCGTGTTTCATTGGTGCGCGTGCGCATTATCCCGATGACCCGAGTTCGGTACAAGGTATTCTGCAGTTTCTACGGATGTAGATGGCTTCTTGGTCTTGATCACAGTGGGCTGCGAACGGTTCAAGTTTGCCGGGGAAATTGAGGTGCGGGGTTTTAGTGCCACTTCCCCAGATGTTTCTCCCTGCTTCCCCGCTCTGCGCCACTCGATGTTCAACTTCTCCTCTCTGATGAAAGTCAAGCTTTTTCTGGCCGATGCTGCAGCTGCACCAACACCCCGTCACCAACCTTTCGTCACGAGTTGCCCAGCAAGGCCAGGGTAGCCCGTGGTATATTACATTGAGTACCTAGGTCAAAGGTTGCCTCTGTGACGGCATCTCCTCGGCACATCTTCTTCCTCCCATCACCTCTAAGCTTTTCGTAGGCCCGTATTCCTCGCTGCCATTGTAATCAACTATAGCTCATCTAACTACTAAGAGGGACGCAAACTATGATCCAAAGATTCGTGCGAGTGGGCACATGCAGTCATCGCAGATGTGGCTGCAATTGATTCTTTCGAATCTCCATGTCTCTCTTTTCCATAGACAGCATATTGCCCCCATGGTTATATCAATATAAAAAGTCTAAACGAACAGTTCGCAATTTTGTCGTTAGAAAGATCAAATGAAACTAAACAATGCCAGTTGCGCAACCATCTCTGATTGGCACGCATCGTCCACACCACCCCGGGAAGCAATTTTGGCCTAAAGCAAGCCACACACACATTCGCCAACCTCCCAGGACACCCCCGGACTGCAAAACGACTGCAGAACCAAAAGTCAGCTGTGTGGCACGTGGGGCTGTCACAACTACTGCTTGATGCATTTCGATGCGGATATCTCAGAAGAACATGTTCCGTACACCCAATCTTTGAAGACATGCAAGCCACAGTCGACATCTTCAACACGCGACTTCACAGGAACCTGGCCAGACTCACCCAAAGACTGAACTAGAGCCTTCACTATTTGTTCATTGCTGCAGCTTAGGACTAGTAACTTCTTACGTCGCTTATACTGTCAACTTTGGTGTGCTTAGTTCTCCATCTCCTCTCGTATCCATGTCGGTCTCTAGTCCAAATCTGACCCATACATTCGTCCTCTGCTGTAATTTGCACGGATCGAGGTGACAAGGAACGCTATCTCAATTCATACGCGATGTACGTCTCGTTGAAAGCTACCATACTTCGATGCCACAGCTGTCTGTCACCTTGAAGTAGCCTCCTCCTCGGTACCACCATTCTCCGAACCAGAGCTTCGGGTCGCCAAATCTTGAACTCCCCAAGTGAGATGCAAGGAGGGTTTCATCCTGACAGACATCCCCCAGACCACGTGGCAAGTGATTCAGCGCGGCTCCAGCTGTCTGTCAGTCGCCCGAATGGGTGGCCGCCTCTTGTGGCGACTAACAATGCTGCCATGTCACTTACGAACCATTCATTCGGTAACGCCATACGACGACCGGATCACACGGTATCTCGAGAATTCAGACAACTACTGGGGCCCATGGCGAGGCAGCATCTGTCGGCGGTCTATTTGGGCCGTGGTCTCCACACAATCTGCGCCGAACATGAGCTCGATGCTGTTGTCTACAATGGACTTATACGGTACACCCGGTCAGTTGATCTGATTTGAGCGGTGTATGAAGTGAAGATGACCTGGCCTTGTGAAGCAGCCAAACACCCTTCACCATGACTTCTAGGACCGTGGCCAAAACAAGACGTGATAAATGATGCAGTGCTGGCAAGAATGGCATCGACACTTGCTGCCCTTCCCATCATAGCAGATTCTTAGACTTCCTCTTTAGGGATGCCTTCACCATCTTGGTTGGTCACCAATGAATAACTTACGAGCCCTTTGGACAGCCTCTCTCTCTCGCGTGCACAACGCAGTACTTATGTCAAGTTGAGGGTCGACACATCCCTTCTTCTCATGTCTTGACCCAATATGGTAGTAGAGTAGACTTCCCAGGTTAGAAGGACTCTTCTAGAAGAGATCCTAAGAAGCAGAGGAGGTCCAACATTAATCACCAGGGCCCAAGATGAGGAAGAAAATGTTTTTTTTTTCTCACGTTGACTACCAATGAAATACGAGGCCACCCTGCACTGTAAGCAGATGATCCTTGGACGCATAGCCGTCCCTCCTATTAGAGCACAGCTCGATCGGCCTCTGCCGTAGGACCCTTCCTCTCCCACCCATGTAGGCAGGTCCGCGAGTCTAAGTATCAGACGAGCCGATAAGACACACTTGTAGTCTGCACGGAACTGTTCCATGGGCGATTCATGAGACCACCTCTGCTGTCATTCTCATAACTTGAGTTGAGGCATATTCGGACCTTGGGGTCTATGCCCTCCAAAGAAGGGGAAAGGTCTTCTTGAGCAGTCTATTCTGTACTGGTCAACATTCTTCACGTCTTTCTTGAGTCTCTGGGTGATGACATACACGCCAGCAGGAGAAGCCTTTCGACTGGTACGAAGCTCGACAATATGGTATTTGTCTGCGTACTTCGTGTATATGGAAGAGAAATCTGGTGGCGCAGTCCGCGATTCCTCCGTTGGGTGTAAGTAGGTGGAAGCGCCGTTTGTATGGCTCTTGATACCTTTTAATTGCCCCCTTTCTGCCCTCATATCCCAACACTAGGGTACGATGACCTTTCATTGAGGTTGAGACATGGGTGATCAAGCGAGCAGAAAATCAGAATCGGAGAGTATGTTGGCGGAGTGTATGCAAGATGGTCACAGAATACCTAGCATTGAACGCCCGCAAGTTAGATGGCATTTGTTTGAGGTACACAATCCAAGCTAACCATTAGTAAGTAGAATGTAGGATGAAGCTATAGATGAATGAATCCAACAGATAGATACCATATTACATCGTGATCCCCTCGAGAGATTGCCTCCTCCATCGTCGCATGGATGGCCAGAGGGAGGACAATGAGCAACCCACCCAAAGCAAGATGGATGATGGTTATGGGGGCTGCAAAAACTGTCTTCGTTGTCTATTATCGAGCAAATGACCTGTCTGAATCAAGTTATAATCAAAGAGCCAGCCAGGGCATCATTCGACCATGTCGGTTTTCCTGCGGAAAAGCTTTCACTCGTGCTCAGAATCGTCAACGGCTTCCCGCTTTGAATACAGGCTGGTCAGCTGTTGGCTAGATTCAGACGCCTTAGCAATAAATTGAATTCTATTGCCACGGCGCCGAATGTGGATTTGAGACGAGCATTCATCTTTGGAGGGGTTTCTGCACATCATAGTTGGCCGGCCTCCTTCGATATGGTACCCTCCAATATCGGAGTTGTTTGAAATATCTGCAACGTCATTTCGTTCTTCTTGGTTATATCGATGCCGTTTAGTCGGTGGAATAGGTCAAGAACCAACGACCCATTGATCCAAACCGTCTCCTATCGAAGAGGGTTTGATGTCCTCGTTCCTAGATCACGGAAGATAAGTTTGGCGTGCTTCTTCAGCTGACAGCAAAGCAAGAGGCAAGCTCTCTTGACAAACTATCAAAACAAGACCACGCGTTTTCTGTGGAGCAAACTTCGTCATCTAGAAGCACCCATGGAATAACCTTTGCGATGGTTCCCATACCAGGCACTAAGTTTCAGACAACTGGTGAGCTAAAGGGCTCTTGAAATTCTAAGCAGTCAATCAATTGCTTTGGTGGCTCGGTGCCTCATACACACCAAGATCTTGCATGTGATATCTGAAGATGGATACTCATGAGTGTCATCTGTTATGACTGCTAGTATCCAATTGATATTCAACATGAAGGCGAAAAGGTGACTGTTATCTGA